CATGGCTCCGTCAATCTATGAGAACCCCAAACGGGACCCTCTGTAGAGCCCTCTACCGGCTAAAACTGCGTTTGGTTGATGCAAATGGCGGTATTTTTTTATTTCAAAGGCTGAATTTTACGGTTAAAATAACATTAACAACGATTTTGAACAGTAAAAAATGTTTACTAATGTGCTGTAATATTAATTAGTAATTACATACATAAACTCAATCACCTGAAGTTCAGGGCAACTTTGAACAGTATAAAATTTATGCATTAGTGCATTGAAAAATTCCATGTTATCCAAGATGACTTTACAATTATTATTTTATTAATTGAAACTCAGTTAACCTAACCTACTCGGTTTTATAATGGACCGATTTGGCACAGCGGTTGTGAGCTCGGCTTCTTTGCCAGAGATCGCGGGATCGATCCCCGTAACATAAACATTTTTTATTTATTATTACGTAGGTATATTAATCATGTGTAGTGATTACTTTATTTTGGACTTATACAGAGCATAATACAACTTGAAAGAAATACATTTTCTCGAACAAAAGGCTATACACATACAATATACTTAATGAAAAGTGTTTTTTAAGTCACTGGATCATAGCAATAGTCGCCGTAGACCGTAGTGGAATCTCATTTGGTGATCTCTTACTGCTTAAATGAACTTAATTTTTTGATCAAGTTTTTGTCTGTTTTTTTTATTATACCGCGGTTTGCGCATATGGGTACATACATAGTATGAAGTAAATTATGAAGTATTTATTTAATGAAGGATAGCTTTCACCTACGGCTTCATCTTTATCTCCCGAATTTCTCTTGAGTGTAGAGATGTGGCACTTTACAGAGACCGCACGTGAACCTTGAGAGAATTTAAATTCATTTCCCTTTACTTTACATGTTCACGAGTTCTTGGATAATAAGGCAAACCATGACAGTAGATTAGAAAGATACGTTGAAAAACAAAACTCCTTTACGTATTATAACTGTGTTTGACCAACCATACATGTATGCTAAAATCTAAAGAAATAAGTACCTATTATTTGTCCTTCATACTCAAAATGCCATGAATACTGATTCGATTCCACTCTCGTTGTCCCCCAGCAAATGTGATAAATGGACATGCGCACTAAAGTCCAGGGCAAGCATAAATTACGCGGGAATTTGCAAACTGACCAATCCCTCTCGTTATCGACTAAAATTAAGGGTTGTTAGCACTGTTTTATCGTCTGCTTTTGTACAGTAGGCGTGTCTGTTTTTTCGTTCCAACTGCTGACATGGGATGGCGTTTTTTGGACTTACCCTTCCCCCCGCGAAAGAAAATATCCGAAAATAGACTTAAAAACCATTTTATTTATCATTTCCTTATGCTTAAACTTCACAAAGCAATGATTAAATATGGATAAATGTAAAAGACACATGAAATATAATGCTCCACAGTGTCAATGAAAAAGTGGGAGTGGACATCCTGAAACGCGGTGACGAAGTTTTTTGGCAACTTAGTATAAATAGAAAGGATCGCGTACAACGTTTGGGAGGTCCGTTGCTACGAAGTGAGGCAGTGAGGGCGAGCTGTGTTAATTCGCCGTGCCACGCTATGGTGATGCTTAGAGCATACCGCTCGGCTCATTGTGGCGTGAACCCGGGGCCAGTTGCGTCCCAGATGTTTTATCCGTGAGATTGTAGGCGCCGACAATACCTCACCCCAACTGATGTAGCAAATTTGACCTCCTTTTTGTTTTCTTGACGTGTAATGTCCTTTAATGTGAATACATTTAATGTCATTCTATTGGAAAAAAAACCTCCAAAAATATCTGCTTTCAAAAATATTTCACCTATGTTGATTTCAATGAAGTTTTAGCGTAGATTTTTCCTGTCAAAATAAATTATTTCCACAAAAATAAATGGTAACTAACTTAGGCGAAATTAATCATTATATTAATTAAATGAAAATAATAGTATTCATTATTAATTTTAGGAATTAGATAAATAATTATAAGAGACTAACTAATCAATTATTTATTTATTACATTAAATAAAACAATAAAATTTAAAATATGCCTTTGTTAAGATCACTACAATAGTTCAGCGGCCAACGGGGGATCGAACTGGCGTTCCTCGGATGTCCAATCGGCTGTCCGACCCCGGCGATGTAATATTTGAGAAGCCTTTTTTTCTGAAAAATGTCACATTAGCGGAAATTAATTACCAATTCTGTTTATATCCAGATAACTTTTAATTTGCCTTCTAAAACTTCCTATTGAATTTTGAAAGTTGAATTATTTGCACATTAAAAGATAATCTTAATACTATAATGGTGCCCGGTTGGTTCAGCAGTGGACGTCCTATGGCTAAGATGATGGTGATGATGAATACTTTAATATGATTTTTTCCTCTAGCTCCAGCCTTTGGCCCAACCAAGCCGGCAAAGATTATTGCGTAGAATACGCACTCGTTAAAATAAATACTGTCTTGTATGAAAAGGATACTATTTGTCAAGCATGCGAAGCAACCCCACGTTTGTGATGAATTCCGCACAATATTAAAAACTCCCTAAATAGTTTCGAGACTTCCAGCGACTTGGCCCACTTTTAGCTTCGTCCACGGGGCAAGTCATTGGATTGAATTTCTAAATATTTTTTCTTCCAGCAACTAGGCTAACTAAAATAATAAACACCAAATCGACAAAAAACTATTCAAGAATCTTACAGTCGACCCAGTTGGCAAAAGAAAAAATATTTAAAAATCCAATCCAGTGACTTCTTAGCCCTTGGACCAAGCTAAAAGTGGGTCATGTCTCTGGAAGACTCAATAGTAAGTTCATTTAAAATTTAATATCTCCTCTACAGGCCCCTGGTCCTGGCCAAGCGCGAGCCATCCAAATGTGTAAGGAATGTTTCCTTTATTTTATGCTGCCCTGGTACTCGCATGGCTCGTGAGGAACGCGAACTGGAGTCTGTAGACAACGCCATCTAGTGAAGGGAAATGCAAGTTAAAAAATCAAATCAAAAAATATTAGGTATTAAAGAAAGTATGATATTGCCGTTTTGTATAGAAAATTTAACGAATATCCTATGCATTCTTTCATTACTAATATTTTCGTAATTTTTTGAAGAACCACAATCTTATTATGAAATTCTGTGAATACATTAAAGACAAACATTATAGCGGATACGTAAAAAAACGTACACGTGAAAAAAATCTTATTTTTATGACGGAAACGGACACCACTTGAGGCGAGCTATTTTTAAAGATTTTTTGTAGTGGTAAAAAAAATTGATACGTAAATATTATAAATATAAATCCTTTAATGATTGTAAAATAAAATATAGCCTTCCTCAATAAATACTATCCAACATAAAAATATTTTTTTCAATTGGACCATTAGTTCTTGAGATTCAAGTTCAAGCAAAAAAACAAAAAATATCTTCAGCTTTTTTTTAATATTACTTTAAATGCATCTATGTAATTTACATTTTTATCATTAGCTTAATATTCGAATTTGGCGCCGCTCCTCAGGCTCCTCCTCCAAAGATGACGGATTGATATGCGCGCGCAATCCAGACTAAAACTAGCCAATGACGACGTTTGATTTACTACAACAACATCTTTCACTCTCTGTACTCCTGGTACAATATTCCTTCAATATCGTGAGAACCCCAAAGCTCCACGCTCCAATATTAAACATTCAGTCAGATAGTTTGACAATCTAACCTCTTGATAATGCACGTTAGCTGCGTCTTTAGGTAAACTGTAGATTTGGTATTGGTTATTTAATATTGATGTACTTTATTATTATTATTTTCAAATTCAAATATTTCCGCTTTATTTTTTATTAATGTTGACCTACGAGTACATTAGCTTCAGGGGCAGTGGGGAAAAGTGGGGCTCATTGTGAACTATATACAAGTATAGCGAATATGGCATAGTTGGTGGAAAGTTAAACGAACTCCTCAATATTTCTGTTCGCCTAGTGAAATAGTTACACAAGTATATGAGAACCCCGAATGGTTTTGTTCAGGTAACTAAATAAAAGTTTCCTATCTTTATTTATTTCTGCTGAAACGACATTTTAAGTTGGTGCAATGTGAAGTGGCGCGTTAGGAAGTTATTAGGCACTAAATTCGTGTTCGGACCTGTCGTCCGCTTCGTTTTCTCCTAGGAACCCTCACTCCCCGCGGAACCGTTTACGAGATATTTGCTCTGTTTCAACCGTACCCAGTCTCCCCTACTATATGTTCTTCGCTGCAGAAGAAAGATGATGATGGTGGTTTGAGCGTTCTTCTCTGATAGTCTCCAATAATTCTCCTCCACGTTACTAGAAGACTAGACGGAAAAAGCGTCAGCACGTATTATGCACGTGCTTAGTCCAAAGGTCGCAGTGTCTCAGGAGCGGACGATACAAGTCTAGGTACGTCAGGTACTTAATATAAACACGTACGTGATATAAAGACAATAAAACATATGAAACTTACCTTATATCGGCAATTTAGTATGTGAAATTTGATTCGGCGCGTTTGAAAATAACGGACGGCCAGAGCAAGCGGCACAGCCTTCCTGCCCGACGTCAAAAAGGCTCTGTGGGCACTGTTTGGCAGGGAATCCCGATGCCACCGTATATCGCCTCGTGCTCGGCAATCTTCGTGAGTGTTCGCATAGTTCTTAGTCTTAGATGCGCGTGAGTGAGATGTGCGATGAAAACGGGAACGGTTATTTGCTTTCTCGTGTTATTATGACAATGATTCGAATGTGTCTTTTAAAATTAAATCTTTTATTTTGGTCATCATAATATTTTAATTTTTTTTTTGTTGCAAAGGTTTGTTATCTTTTTTTTCTTTTATTTAAAAACAAGCAGGCAGACAATATCAATAACAATAAAAAAGCAATCAAAGACACGATTACACCAATGTACCAGACTTCCAGTCAAAACCCTTAGCTTATTACTAAGCAATTAACGTATTCTATAGATAGATGGTTGTTTAATTTCATTCCACAGAATACGTGAAGAAGCCGATATTCTTACTCCAAGCAACCCTCATGATCCCGAATGTGTCTGTGAAGCCGACCCTGGATGAAATACAGGAAGTGTTGACCATCGCTGGGAAACACATATCAGGACTGTCCAAGGGAGTCGCCCAATGGTCCGGAGGGAAGGTCCCTAGGGTGAGAATAAATAAATGTAGATTTCAACATAACGTCTCAACTAAAAAAAATAGAAAACTTTCAGCGTGAGAAGGACAAAGGTTTTGGATGTGGTACCGTTACTGTGATGTATAACCTTTCTTTGTTACGCAAAAAGGTTGTTATTATTTCTGTTTTACCATTGGGTTTTATGGTGATTATTGACAGATAATTTATTGATTAAATTAGTGAATCAATCGTCCATAATTTGACCAGATGAAGCTGATATATTTAGAAATTGCTTTGCACACTTAATTTCATCACCAACCTTCGAAAAACCTCATAAAAATATTCAAATCATTATTATTCATGGTCTACTCTTTAATTAAATAACTACAATTGCACTGTTAAGTAAGATTGCTTGTTAAATTAAGGTATTTAAAGTAAACATTTAGATTGATTGAAATAAACTTCTGATAAAATAACAACTAAACAATATTGTACATAACTAACCCACTGTTAAATAATAAGTATAAAATACTAACTTAAACGTTTTCCTTCTTTTATCACCCCACCCTGTGATGTTAATTGTATTGTGATGTTACCTGCACGCACCTGTGAACTACTGTGTTTTCGTCTGCTGCCACTGCCGCTGTGTTCACCTATTTCTGTTTTATTTGCCAAACACTCAATGTGCTTAATACCTTTATTTGGACTCCCCGCTTCACCTCTGCGCGCGTCCCGATACCCTAACCCAGGTTAACTGGAAGAAGATCGCAGGCCGCCCGTCGAACCACCTTCTAGAAGTAGTCACGAAGCTTGACGAACAGGTGCAATCAGGGGCTGCACAAAACGCGGGCATGCAGCAAAAGGGCCTTAAAGTTATCGAGGCAGCGAAGATTCGGCGCAAGAGACACTACCGCCTTGAGTCGGAGGAGAAGCCGTCGTTCCCATTCCAACAGAAAAACTTCTATAACCACGTCATGGAGAACAAGGAAGTCGTCAAGACGTTGTCGCAAATGTCTACATGCACGCAGAATATCAAAACAGTAAGTCTTTTTAACTTTATGATGATTGTAACAACTCTCAATTAGATTTCGTTAATGTAACCACAGTAGACATAGTAACTACGAGTATGTTTTTAGTATGAATCCCGGATACACCTTTACTTAACCAGCTGATTCAACACGAGTAATCAAACTGAAAAATACCGCGCAGTTTGTTGCACAGTGATTTCTTTTCCTGAGAATTGAAATAAATACCACCAAGTAATAAAAGAAAGAAGCGAATATTGTGCTACATAATGTAACAAAACGATTCGTAAAGAATTGTATTGTTACAAATTCTAGGAGCTGAACAACTTGGTGAAGCGCTGGCGTCCGTACCACTACCTCTGGAAATGTGAGAAGACCCTACGCCAACTGCTGTCCTGGAACTTGAATGACTTTGAACTGTCTCTGAAGAAGCACAGCGAGCTGGAAGCCAAGCTGGCGACCGAGCCCGACGTGCTGGTCATAGGCACCTGCCTCGCTGTGTCCACCGAGAAACTCAAGCTTGGACTGACTACAGAGTTGAAAAGTGGGTTTTCGTAATTGCTAGTCCTGCAAACACGGCTGGCTTTTAAGTATCGGCACGGAATAATGAGGTAGAATCAAGTAAAGACTCAATTAAAAACTAGGCAGATATTTTATAAGTTCAAAATAGTAATAAAAAGGGTCTGGCAAGGAAATTAAGTACCAATGTCGAAATACTAATCGAGTACCTAAATGAAAAAAATAAATCTCTGCAGCTTCCATTGAAATAATTAAAAATAATATGATCAGCTAAAAGTTTTCCTTAGAATTCCAACCCTGAGTTTTAATTTATGGTTAAATGAAAATTTAATTCATTACAGACGGCACTCACAGAATAAGTCAAGCTATGCGCAAGAAATATAAACGTGAGATGGACTACGTTTATGCCATCATGAATGATCTAGAACGTAAGCTGGAGAGACCCATAAGAGACCTGGATGACGTCAGGACTGTCATGGAGACTCTGAAGAAGATACGGGAACAAGAAGTTGACATGGAACTCAAAATTGACCCGGTTGAAGTAAGTAATAACTTAAATCTATATATTTTTTTAAATTGTTACAGTTTACAAAATATGCAATTATTATTATTATTATTATTGGTTTTTGGGCCTTTATTTGCGCCAACTCGACCAGGTTTGATCTATTGTGGCAGCCCTTGTCTTTAGAGTTCACTGCTTAGTCCCGTTGAGTCTATAAATTTCCAGATTCTTTGGAGCGTGATATCTGCTATCTCATCCGGGTGCATGATGTGTCGCCCGAGATGGATACTTCTTTCGCTCATAAGCGGGAAGCATGAGCAAAGAACATGCATGGCCGTTTCTTCTTCTGTATGGCAGAATCTGCACAGAGTTTCCTCGGTCATGTTCATGTTCGATTTATGTTTGTTTAGTTTGCAGTGGCCGGTCAGTATTCTAGTCACTGCACAGGCTTTGTATCTTTTGAACTTTAGCAGTTCCTTAGTTACTTTGTTGCTATATCCCTGAATGAGTGCTTTTGAGTGTTTTTGTTTGTTTGTTGTGTGAAATATGCAATTACTGAAAACATAAACAATTTAATAATGCATTATAAAATAATTTAGGATGTAGATAAGTACTTCTGTACTCAATGTGATCTCTGTGGTGAAAGTATGTTATGTGAATATTATTATCCAAAATTTTGATAGGTTCTTAAAACATAATTAAGTGTAATATGAAAAAGCCAGAATGTACAACTTATATCACCCAGTTCCATCAAACTATTCTAATTTCCAGGAAGCCTTCAACATAATCACTCGCTATGAGCTGCCTGTGAGCAAAGAGGATTTAGAACAGGTTGACAATCTCCGCTACACTTGGCAACAGCTGCAAGCGCAGGCGCTGGCAACCCATTTCCAGCTTTTGAAAATGCAGCCGACCTTCTCTGATGACCTCAAGAACAACCTGGACAGGTTCAGAGATGACAATACGGAGTACTGCCATGAGTATCGCCATGCAGGCCCTATGCAGCCTGGTTTGAGCCCTAGGGAGGCATCTGATAGGTTGATTCTCTTCCAGGTATAATATTTTCATCTTTGTAATAACTAAAGGCTATATTAACATTCCTAGAGGCGAACCATATTTACAATTCCTATTCGTTTCATCAAACTTTTTCATAAATTAATTGGTCTTGATTTCCAGAACCGCTTCGATGGCATGTGGCGTAAACTACAAACCTATCAAAATGGCGAGGAACTATTTGGTCTTCCTCACACGGAATACCCTGAACTTGCGCAAATAAGAAAGGAGCTAAACCTTTTGCAAAAGCTGTATAAACTGTACAATGACGTCATCGACCGAGTCAGCAGCTATTATGATATTCCATGGGGTGAAGTCAACATCGAGGAGATCAACAATGAGCTTATGGAGTTCCAAAATAGGTGCCGAAAGCTGCCAAAGGGGTAAGTTTGCAGAGGCAGGACACTCATCTGACATAAGATGATGAATTTGTTCTAACTACTAAGAGAAACCAATTTTCTTGTTTAGCCTTAAAGAATGGCCTGCCTTCTTCGCGCTTAAGAAGACAATAGATGACTTCAACGACATGTGCCCGCTCTTGGAGCTCATGGCCAACAAAGCGATGAAAGCGCGTCACTGGCAACGTATCATGGAGGTCACCAAATACATCTTCGAACTTGACAACGAGGACTTCTGCCTGAAGAACATTCTGGAGGCACCTTTGTTGCAGAATAAAGAGGATATTGAGGTAATTGTTATATTAAAAGTTCGAAGTAACTAAGAGTGCATCTTGGCCTCCGATCCTCCGCAACAGTCTGTTTTGGTGTCTTTCGCCAGTGGACGTCCAACGTGGAGCTCACGCAGGTCCCTCGCAACATTTTAAATTCTCCCCAACGGTAGGTACCCGGGGCGAACAACCGGTTGTCAGGAATTCTTACAACTTTTTCCAGGTGGCATTTTTTTAATTTATAAAACTACTCATAATATTCCTAAAAGATAAATAATTTACGAGAAACAGTAGGTACCTAATTGTAATCAAAATAATTATAATAATAATAATAATAATAAGAATTAGAAGACTCATCGTGATACACATAAGTATAAATAAAAATAATAATAATAATATAGTCTTTATTTCAGGCTTTTACATCCCATATCTTAATAATAAATTTTCAAAAAATGTAAATGTGTAAACGTTGGAGACAATAATTATAATTTACCTAGTACCTACATAAAATTTAAAAGTTATTTAAAAACATGGGTAAAATATTAAAAATACGATTATTTAATAAATTAATGGATTATTGAATATTTTTTTTTTAAAACTGTAAAAATTTAAAATAATGTTTTATTTCCTATTCGCGCTCCGGTGAACATCCAACCAATGTGAGAGGAATGGACTTTTATACAGGTCATTGCTGACTACAGTTAGCAGCTCGTTAGGTGAGTCACGAATAGTATTATAGTTACTGCTTGCTTATGATGACAAAAAAAAATTAAACGCTGCAACGTATAAAAATATTTTATGTTAATTCCGGTGAAACGAAACGTAGCTTCATATCAGAAAATTTATCGTGGTGCGGCGACGAAACGAAACCCGAAACTTAAAACGAAACGCATTCTGACGTCTGAATACCAGGCGCTCATAAAACAGAAGCGATTGAGGGCGCGTAACGTAACCTATTCGCGACACCTTCATCCCCAGCTTCTCTCTCATTCCATCTCAATATCAAGCTCCGCCTCATAATAACTCACCCCATCTTATCGCTCTCTTTCTTCCTAATATTATTGGAAAGAGAAAACAAAACTAGTTACTGCGATGAACCTGTGAAAATATTTTATTGCTCGTTCACTCCTATTCAAAGTATGGAAAGAGAAACGCTAACTATAATTTTGTATCTTCGCCTTCATTTATCTACCTTCATTTGGTTTGGCACCTCTATTACGTATGGTGGAGGAAATTTTCGTAGTTTCTATCAGACACCTTTCGTTTATGAAGTTGGCCAGCTGGTGCAAATCTTCTCGTGAACGATGCCGCCCTGGTACTGTTACCGACGATCCACCTGTCGTGCCCCGCAAGCGGTGCCGCGCGCCCCACGCCCCATACCCTGTCCTGTTTCGTGCGGAAAGTGGAAAACTTACTCACTGGAAATTTCACAGTGTGAAAATCACTGCCTTGTTTAATTCTGCGTTTATTAAATGCACGTTTGGAATCGTGTTTGAAAACGTGTATAGTATTAGTAGGGAGCTTTATACGTGCAAAAAATAATTATATTGAACTTTTTATCTATCTTTTATACAAGCAGCCGCCCGCGACTTCGTACGCGTGGATCCCGTTTTACCTCCTTAGGAGTGGAGTTTCGTAAAATCCTTTCTTAGCGGATGCCTAATTGCCTACGTGTTAACATCTACCTACATAGTTATTTAATTTTTAGCGTTAAGAGTCGCATCTCAACCTTCCGCTTGCCGGGCGACTGCTCTTCCAACTCCGGCCTTAGGCAGTTCGATTTTTTCAAGTTATTTACAATCTACCTGCATGCCTTTCAGTCTGATCCGTCCAGTAGTTTGGGCTGTGCGTTGATAGATCACTATTTCAGTCAGTCAGTCAGAGTCACCTTTGAGTTCCGAGTACTTATAGATGACCCACGCTGAACTGTCCCACCAAACTCAATGACAGGGGGGCGCTACCATCGTTCAACTATATGGTTTCCAACATGGCAAAAATCTGAACCAGCGATCCGGTATTGACGGTGGCGCCCCACTGTCAATGTCATCGACAGGACAGTCCAGTATTTTGGAACTATACGAGTACTACATAGTAAATAATATATAATTTATTTTTATGCGTTGACAGATCGGTCTGACATGATGACCTATTTCGTTGTTTTTATAATTATTATGCAATAAATCCTTGAAAAACGGAATCTTTTGTTTTTAACACATTCACGTTTATGGTCGTATAATACTAATTAATTTATAAAATAATTAATTTGATGTTCTTTGGTCGTGAAAGTATTTTATTTCCACAGTTTTCCGCCGATTTTCCTTGAAATTAGGTCAGTCGGGTTGGGGAAATGGGTAACGTGGCAAAATGCATATCCGCATCGTACCAGGATCGCAGAAGATTGAAGGAGGTAGTAGTAGTGGATTGTAGGAGGAGGTCTTAAAATATAGGCACTGAAGCAAAACCACACCATAATCAACCTTATTTCTATCGAGATAAGGAACGAAAATGTTACACCGGTTGCTGCCTGTATGTTCAGTCGACAATACATTAGAATAACATTTTTGTTGCAAAATAGCTTCTATTACTACGACAATAATAATTATGTGTGACGCAGTGTTCAGCTGGATGTGCCGTCGTCTGTATTCGCAACTGCCAACCAATTTATTGAAACGGGGCGCTATTTTTTAGTACTGTGATTTTCTATAACTGCGTGGGCTAACATACTATCGCCAATACTAAGGCATCATAAATCAGAAGCTTTGTACTTTTTTATAAACGTTTTATTCATGATAATTTACGTATTGAGTGGTAAGAGGGCCTCTACCGACGCCAAGATTTCAATCGATGTCGGTTGGCAGAAAACAATGTGGTCTAGTATCAAAACAGGTAAGTGATAATTATCTGTAAGTCCTTGATTTTTTTTTGTATTTTCTCAATTGTATAATACTCGTACCTAGTAATAAAATTATCTTTGTGGTTTTAAGATGTTGCTAGGTTCGACCGTTCCTCTTAATATTATGTTTTTTTCACAGACGGACTCAATTTCAGAGCTTTTCAGAGCTATATAGCGGTGGTTCAGAGGAAAACGGGATTGTTTCTTTTTACATTGCGATTTTACCGGTGGCACCCGGTGGCAACAAAGATAGAAGAGATAATAATTATATAATATTTTCTCAATACTCTGTAATCTGTATCTGTGGTACAGCAGCTACTGGAAAATTGATAAAAATGTTCGCGCATTCGATTTCAAACATGCGCGTCAAGGATCAGTTTATAGAAAACGTACACAGTTTTATTGATGCTATCAAGAAAGGTAAAAAAGATTTAAAATCTTATTAACTTGGAATTTTCTATGAAATTACATTGCTAGGTCAGCTAGTTTTTAAATTATTGATTGGTGATGTTGGTATCCATTATTTTTAGGGTTCCGTAGCAAAAAACGGAACCCTTATAGATTCGAAAGAACTAAATAACTAATTAAAAAAATATTACCTACAACACTTGTAATGTACCTGAATTGAAAAATAATGTTTTTCTTGATTAGGCTCCTGTTGTTTCCAAAAGCAATAACTTTTTTTCTTAAGTTGTAATGCTATGTATTAGACTATTTTGGAATCTGCAAAAGATGGACATGTTTTTAAAATAATGGGCACTGACAGTGTACTTAGTACACTTTTTTTACACCACAAGCACAGCATAAGTAATAGTGCCACAAGCTGAAAAGTCAAACGATTTGCTAGTAATGAGTATTGAATTTCGAAACAAACAATTTTTTTTATTATTACAATTCAGTTTGTAATAAAAAAGTATTTGTAACACTTAGTAGGTACATTATTATAATCAGCAATAATAAAAAAAAACTGCATAAAAAATACCGTTAATTTTGGAAATTATAACCGTAACGCAAGGTACCAATTTAAAAAGAATCATTTTTTTTTGAACAACTGTAATAATCAATTTCAAAAATATGCAATATTTTGGTTATTTCATAGATGGCAATCAGTTCTATTATGAAAGTAAGTACCTACTTACTTTCATAATAGAACTGATTGCCATTTAATTTAAAGGATATCCCAGATGGTTTCCCAACGCCTTCCTGGCAACCAAACTGGGGCAGCCTGGTAGGCAAACAAAATGGGCAGGTTTGAAAAGGATTTAGTCCCGCCGCCGCCGGTGCCGCGAACGGCCGTGTGGTGCCGGTTTGAACAACGGTCGACCTCTGACGTAGTGACATGGTGTCTGCATAAATTTTAATTGATTTCAATCACATCTACACAAAAGTCTACCCGTTTTCTTCTTACCAACTCGATCATTGTGCAATATTAGACCAGTTGCCAACTAGCGGGCTTGTTGTTTTGTGCGTTTATCCGACGCGTCCTGTATAAAATTCATCGCATGATGTTCTTTTGTGAACGAATTAAAATAATCTGAAAAATTTTGTGGTTATAATTTACATTGTAAAACATTCCTAGAATTGACTACAAGAGGAATAGGAAACATGTTTTTCACATCCGCAAAATGGGTTGAAGAAGGAGGTAAGTTTCTATTACAAAATCGTCCTTTTATAGAATTTGGAGACATAAAAGCATAAAACATTTTGTTTGTATATTTGACAAAATAAAATGTAAAAGTTCCTAATGATCCATTTCATAAAGTGTGGTCACATGATAATCAATAAAATTAATCAATCAATTATTTAATTTTGCAATGTGATTTTATCATAAATTATTTTACGATACTAGCTTTAAAATTAGCCATAGCCTAGCTACAAAACTTAGAAAGAATCTCAGATCATAGAAAGAGAAAGAATCATTACACCATAAATAATATCCGCCATGAAATAATATTTAACCTAGGGTACATTATACATTTTAGAATGCGGATTTTGTCAGTTAGCCGTATTTTTTAGCGGTATTTTCACTCATTTTACAGGATATCTGCATCTCAGCGATGAAGGAGAAGGACATCGAAGCAAAGCTTCGGCAAGTGACCAACGAGTGGTCCGTCCACGAGCTGACCTTCCAAACCTTCAACAACAGGGGAGAACTCCTCCTCCGAGGAGATACCACGGCGGAGACCATCGGACAGCTGGAAGACAGTCTCATGATCCTCGGCTCGCTACTATCCAATCGGTAATTATTATGATGACCATCTTGTGAAAATCCATGCTCCTAAGTTTAAAGCTCCGGAGTGAAAAGTGGTAATGTCACATGAAAAAAACTACAAAATATTTTGCTTTCAAACAATACCTATTTATTATTAGGACACTTCAATAGAGACTATAAATATTATCTCCTTATATTTCAGATACAACGCACCATTCAGAAAGCAGATACAGCAGTGGCTTTACGACCTGCAAAGTACGAACGAGATCTTAGAACGCTGGTTGCTAGTGCAAAATATGTGGGTGTACCTTGAAGCTGTATTCGTAGGGGGTGACATCGCCAAACAACTGCCCAAAGAAGCCAAGCGGTTCTCAAAAATTGACAAATCTTGGCAGAAGATCATGCAAAGGGCTCATGAGACACCTGGAGTCGTATCCTGTTGCGTCGGAGACGATTTATTAAGACAATTGCTTCCGCATCTCCAAGAACAGCTGGAACTCTGTCAGAAAAGTTTGAGTGGCTATCTAGAGAAGAAGAGGACAATGTTTCCTAGATTCTTCTTTGTCTCTGATCCAGCCCTGTTAGAAATTCTTGGACAGGCTTCAGATTCACATACCATACAGAATCATCTGCTGTCCATATTTGACAATATTCGTTATGTCAAGTTCCATGATATTGGTGAGTCAATAAAGTTAAGCTTTCTTGTTTCTTTCTAACTAGATACCTGATAACTTAAAATTAGCGTCAATATAATAAAACAAACATTGAAATCAATTTCAGAATACAACAAGATGATTGCTATTGTTTCTTCGGAGGGTGAAGAGATAAAGCTGGAGCGTCCCGTACGGGCAGAGGGTTCTGTGGAGACCTGGCTGACGTCACTGTTGCAGTCGGCTCAAAGCAGCCTGCACTCCATCATCCGCAACGCGGTGTCCATCCTCAACGATCCCGCTTTCAATTTGCTGCTGTTCCTTGACAAAATGCCGGCACAGGTAAAATAGTTAGATATAGGTACCTACTGTCCTTTCCAAATCGCATCAAAATAATGAGCAGGTAGGTATATGACGCTAACCAGGCAATTATTATAGAAATAATTTGAGCCGGATGAAGAACATTGGCAACCTTTTACAGAACATAAGTTGCGCCTGTCTCAAACTTATTTGCGTAAAATAAGCGCTGGATTATTTCTGGATCTGTTAGAACTAGAATCTATGAGATATAAAACTTAAATTGGCATTTCAGGTTGGACTTCTGGGCATCCAAATAATATGGACTCGTGATGCAGAACTAGCACTGATGCAAGCTCGGCAAGACAAGAAAATAATGATGGAAACCAACAATAAGTTTTTGGAACTGCTGAACACATTGATTGATCAGACCACCAGGGACTTACTGAAGATTGAAAGAATTAAGTTTGAGACTCTTATTACTATCCATGTCCATCAAAGGGACATTTTTGATGTACTGGTAAGTTTTTGTCCCTCTTAAAAGTATTTAATGTTGTCCATGATAATTATATGATAATCTAGAATAACATTTGTGTATAATTTTGACTAAAATCGTATGGTTCCAGTGCCGTCTCAACGTCCGATCGGCGACCGACTTCGAGTGGCTGAAGCAATGCCGTTTCTACTTCAAAGACGACGCGGACAAGACCTGGATATCGGTGACGGATGTGGTATTCACATACCAGAACGAATACCTTGGGTGCACTGATCGCCTTGTCATTACTCCTCTTACTGACAGGTAACCATGAACATTTTACGAAAATCAGAAAAAAAGTTGCACGAAATTGCGTTCTGTGCAGTAAGAAACCCTGAAAACCGTAGATCAGAAGGTACCTACCTAATGCGCTTTCTCTTGCATGGTTCCAGAATCTTTCTTCCTCAGACTCTTCGCGTCTTTTCTCTTCGTTTTTTCAAGCAATATGCCCACATCCTTAATATCCATTTTAACTTGCTTGGAATTAACTTCTCGTATTAACACCGAGCATAATTATTTTCTTTTTGAAATATTTTTCAGATGTTACATAACATTAGCACAGGCTCTAGCGATGAGCATGGGAGGTGCGCCTTGCGGGCCGGCGGGTACTGGTAAGACTGAGACCGTCAAGGACATGGGGAAGACCCTCGCGAAGTATGTCGTGGTGTTCAACTGCTCTGACCAAATGGACTATAGGTAACTGCTTTATGTTGTGCTCTTGTTTTCACTTTTTAAAAGAACACAAAAAAAATTATTCACTTTGAAATATTCACCCGTCCTGAATTCGACAGTTTAATTAAAGTACGAGTAATATAAAATTGACGCTTTTTTTATACAAATATCAACATCGCCTTATTAGGGTAGTTGACACTCTAATCCATTGTATATTTTATTGCATATTTAAGTATTGCATATTAATTGCATATTTAAGTATGAGTACGTAGACTCGTCTCAAATGATTTTTTGATTTCTGACTTCTTTGTGAGTTTTGGGAAAAAATATAGAAATTGTATACTCAATGGGTTTTTGTCAATACTTCCAGAGGTCTCGGCCGGATCTACAAAGGCCTCGCCCAGTCAGGTTCCTGGGGCTGCTTCGATGAGTTCAACCGCATCGAGCTGCCCGTGCTCTCAGTGGCCGCACAGCAGGTGGCCGTGGTGCTCGCGGCGAAAAAGGAAAAAAAGAAGACCTTCGTCTTCACGGACGGAGACGTCTCCGAAATGTGCCCGGAGTTCGGCATTTTTATTACTATGGTCAGTAGAAGCTGCTAAGCGATTGATGTTATGCGAGCAATTTTAGAATTAGTATCAGTCATTACAGCTTTGCGCTCAAGTCTGCGCTGCGAATGGTTAAAATGTGTTTTTATGAATGCTGTGTGAACTATTAGGAAAAGTTGGTAATTATGTCATTTACCCATACCTAAATGGTCGACATTATCAAACATTAATTGTCAACAGAATCCAGGCTATGCCGGTCGCAAGGAACTCCCTGAGAACCTGAAGATCCAGTTCCGCACCGTCGCCATGATGGTGCCCGACCGGCAGATCATCATCAGGGTCAAGCTGGCCTCCTGCGGCTTCCTAGAGAACATTACGCTCGCCCGCAAGTTCTACACTTTGTATAAGTTATGTGAGGAGCAGCTCACCAAACAGGTGAGCTACCTTGAAACCATCGTCATCATCCATCCATCCATCATTATGGTGCCCGTCCGGTAGAACTTCATCCGCGTGAAGCTGGCCTACGCTAGTCAATTAGCATACTTTTGCATGACCTCTTAAAACGTGACTTCCATAAATTTTGTACACAAACTAGATTTACGACGTTAGCAGATCACCATTGAAATACAAGTACTTTCTCGAGGAAGTCACGCTCGTTCGCAAGTTTTACATTGTATTAAGCTCTGTGAAGCTCACCAAACAGGTGAGAATATTCCAGATGGTAAGCAAAGCTCACGAGACGTAATTTTTTTACTCTGATCTAAATTATCTCTACGTGAGACTCTTTTACTGATATTTAACGATTTATGATTCAAAGGCTACAACACAAACAAGTCCTAAATTATTTTTCATCCCGCTCCCTCTTTCATAAAAATTTCAAGAGTGCCTTTAATATAATGCATAACTAAAAAAACGATTGTGCTAACCCAACCCAGAGTAATGACCCATTTTTGCTGAAAATTTCAGGTCCACTACGATTTCGGCCTCCGCAACATCCTTTCTGTCCTCCGCACCCTCGGCGCAGTCAAACGGGTCAACTCCAAAGACAACGAGAGCACCATAGTCATGAGAGTGCTTCGCGACATGAATCTGTCCAAACTGATAGACGAAGATGAACCACTCTTCATTTCACTCGTCTCAGATCTGTTCCCGAACCAAGCGTTGGACAAAACAACGTACAACGACCTTGAGGATGCAATAAAGAAACAGGTGGAGAGCTCAGGGCTGATATACCACCCGCCTTGGGCTCTCAAAGTTATACAGGTGTGTATATTTTTGATAAGAAAAAGATTGAAAATCTGCAAAAACAGATTTGATACGAAAAATGGCTGCTTTACGGTGTAATAGCACAGAATAATAATAAGTACTGTAATAGTAATAAAAAGTTCGATGTTGTCTATTTATCCCTCAATAAAAAATTTACATTGCAATAAAAGAGTACATTTGCCAACAAAAATATTGAGTGCTAAATATCGTCGCAATTTTGTTTTTACTAGAAAATCATGACAGTATTTCTAAAATACGCCTTTTTATGAAGAAGCCGTATGTATTTGCAGCTATACGAAACTCAACGAGTTCGTCATGGAATCATGACATTAGGGCCTCCAGGAGCCGGTAAAACCACGTGCATTCATACACTTATGAACGCTCTATCTGAAGTTGAGAACCCTCATAGGTAAACGTTGCACTCTAGAGCTGCATGGTATTAAATACTGCCCTATGGAACAGTGCACTTTTCCACTAGTGTTATTTATTAGTTAGCGACTATAATTTTGTGCAATTTCGTTGTCAAAACAATAAAGTTTCAGTAAAATGTAGTTATTACTTTGCTATGCTTTTTGTCTCACAAGCATTTTCGTAAAAGTTTTATTGACAAGAGATTATTTTTAATACGAGTAGATTAAATTGAAAAGAAAATTATGACACCTAAATATATCCATTGAATGACTATTTAATATTTTGGAATTGACACTTTAATCAGTAGTACCTAGCTAAACTACCTTGCCATGATTTTGGTCTGATTTTATTTAAATTAAACGTTTCAGGGAGATGCGCATGAATCCGAAATCTATAACAGCTGCGCAAATGTTCGGGCGTCTCGATGTGGCCACTAACGATTGGACAGATGGGATATTCTCAGCCCTTTGGAGGAAAACACTTAAAATCAAAACCGGAGAATATATCTGGCTGGTGCTCGATGGACCAGTCGACAGCATTTGGATCGAGAATTTGAACTCTGTGCTAGATGATAATAAGACCTTGACTCTAGCCAATGGTGACCGTTTGACAATGTCGCCTACATCGAAGATTATATTCGAACCGGAGAACATCGATAATGCATCTCCAGCTACTGTATCTAGAAATGGAATGGTTTACATGAGCTCATCGGGGTTGGATTGGGATCCAGGTAAAGGTGTTTCTTTGTCCTTTCAACTACAGTATATTTGATGACTAGTTATAATAATAAATGTTTTTATTCTTTCAGTTGTTCGTGCTTGGCTAAAGTCAAGATCGGCCAGAGAAGTTGAAGTGTTTAGCGTACTTTTTGACCAGACTTTCCTTGGCATCTACACATGGTGCACACAGAATTTGACTTTCAGTATGAAGGTCCTTCAAAGCAATATTGTGCTTCAAATGTTGAATCTCCTGGAAGGTCTTGTACCACCACAGAATGTCGAACCAGTAGAAGATACATCTGGCAGCAAATCAGTCAATGGTGATATGGATGATGAAGAAGAAAAAGAAAAAGTAGAAGAAATAGTGCAGTACACCCATGAACATTTACAAAAAATATATGTGTTTTCATTAGTTTGGGGTTTCGGATCTCTATTAGAAACCAACGACAGAGATCGATTTGACACATACATCAAGAAAAACTTCTCAGAAATTCTAGACATTCCGAAGCATCCAAATAATAAACCCAGCAATCTTTTTGATTTCTATGTCAAAAATTCTGGAAAATGGGAACTGTGGGATGATCTGGTAACACCTTATGTGTACCCAGACACAGCCACTCCAGATTATGCCAGTATTCTTGTGCCTATAACGGACAATGTAAGAATTGACTACATGATCCACTGTATCGCTAAACAAGGAAAAGCTGTCTTACTTTTAGGAGAACAAGGTTCTGCCAAGACGGTCATGATGAAAGCATACATGAAAAATGCCAATCCTGATCAATTTATGAGTCGATCCTTTAACTTTTCATCTGCCACCAGTCCCTATCAATTCCAGAAGACAATAGAAAGTTATGTTGAAAAACGGAGTGGTATGACTTTTGGTCCTCCCGGCGGCAAAAAAATGCTCGTATTCATCGACGATATTAACTTACCCCAAATCAATGAATGGGGTGACCAAATAACTAACGAAATTGTAAGGCAGACGATGAGCATGGGTGGATTTTATAGCCTGGAGAAACCTGGTGATTTTACAACCATTGTTGATATTCAATTTCTTGGTGCCATGGGCCAACCAGGTATTTTTAAGTTACATTACTTAATTAATATTTTTATAATCAAATAAGTAAATGCAGGTCTCATTAATTTTCATAATTTTAGGTGGTGGCAGAAATGATATTCCAGCAAGATTGAAGCGCCAGTTTGCGATTTTCAACTGTCCTTTGCCAAATAACGATTCAATTGATAAGATATTCAAAGTGATCGGTGAAGGTCATTACAACGCTCGCAGAGGATTTGCTGCAGATGTGAGGTCATTGATCAAGAAGGTTATACCGCTAACAAGAGAGCTTTGGATGAGAACTAGATTGAATTTGTTACCTACACCAGCAAAATTCCACTACGTATTTTCTTTGAGGGATCTATCCAGGGTCTGGCAAGGAATGGTGGGGACTTTACCTACAGTGATTGAATCGGAAAAATGTCTGATGTTACTATGGAAACATGAATGCTCCAGAGTATTTTCTGACCGCTTCACTCATCAGGTTGATAAAGATTGGTTTAACAAAGCTCTTTATGACATAGCGGAGGAAGTGTTAGGAGTTGAATACAGAAAGATGATGGATAAGGAACCGGTCTTTGTCGACTTTATGAGGTAACGATTTATTGACTCAGTCCCTTCAATATTAAGAATAAAAGTAGTAGCAGTTTAGAGTATCTAGGTAATAATAAAAGTTTCTCATAATTCGTGAAATATTTCCTTTGAAGATTAACACGATCACGCCATTATAGCTTTCATATCTTCCGGAATTTGAGATTTCTTCGTCAATTAGTATTTAATTTTTTTTACATTACAGAGATGCTCCTGAACCAACAGGAGAAGAGGGAGAAGACGCAGACATGGAATTGCCAAAAGTATACGAGCCTGTATTCGACTACAGTGAACTAAGAGAACGGTTAGACATGTTCTTGGCTCAATTCAACGAAATGGTCCGAGGTTCTGGCATGGATCTTGTGTTCTTCCCTGACGCTATGTTACACTTGGTTAAAATATCGAGAGTAATTCGACATCCTAGAGGAAACGTCATGTTGGTAGGAGTAGGTGGGTCTGGGAAGCAATCACTCACAAAACTGTCAACGTTTATTGCAGGCTATCGATCTTTTCAAATTGCTCTTACCAGATCTTACAATGTAGGCAATTTTCTTGAAGATCTCAAGCTTCTGTACAGATCTTGTGGCGTCCAAGGAAAAGGCACAACGTTTGTATTCACAGACTTGGACATTAAAGAGGAAGGATTCCTGGAATACCTGAACAATATTCTGTCGTCTGGCGTTATATCAAATTTATTTACCAAGGATGAGCAACAAGAAATAATTTCTGAGCTAACACCAATAATGAAGAGAGAAAACCAAAAGCGTACGCTAAACAATGAACTCGTGATGGAATATTTTTTGAACAGGACATGTCAGAATTTGCATGTCGTTCTATGTTTTTCACCTGTACGTAACTAAAATTTCTTGCTTCATAAATTGATTAGGTTAGAATGAATTTAAAAGTAACGTTATTTTTTGTAAATGTTTCAGGTAAGCGAAGCATTTAGATACCGTGCATTAAGGTTTCCAGCATTAATATCCGGATGCACTATCGATTGGTTTCAACCTTGGCCTAAAGACGCGCTGGTGTCTGTTGCTGATCATTTTCTAGCTGAATTTGAAATCGAATGCACCAAAGAAGTTAAAAAAGAATTGGTCACCGTACTAGGAACTATTCAAGACGTAGTGTCCAAGGTTTCTACGGAGTATTTCCAAAGATTCCGTCGATCATCACACGTGACGCCTAAATCATATTTAAATTTTATTGGTGGATACAAAACTATTTATCACATGAAGCAAAAAGAGCTTGGAGATGGCGCGTTAAGAATGGATACTGGATTAGAAAAATTAAGGGAGGCTGCCATTTCAGTAGAATTACTGAAGAAAGACTTGGCTGTCATGGAACAAGACTTAGCTTTGGCTTCTGAAAAGGCTGATCTCGTGTTAACTCAAGTTACAGAAAGAGCTATGCAAGCTGAAATCGTTAAGAATCAAGTACAAATTGTGAAAGAAAAGGCTGAGGCCTTGGTGGCTTACATTGCTGAAGAGAAAGAAAAAGCTGAACTGAAATTGGAAGCTGCTAAACCAGCTTTAGAAGAAGCTGAAGCAGCTTTGAACACGATCAAGCCAGCTCACATAGCTACAGTTCGTAAATTAGGCAGACCACCACATCTTATTATGAGGATTATGGATTGTGTGCTGATATTGTTTCAAAGAAGGTTACATCCTCTTATTCCTGATACAGCTGCACCTTGTCCAAAACCTTCTTGGGCTGAATCACTCAAGGTTTTTTATTATTTCAATAACTAATTTAAATTATTATCGTTAATTATTATTTGTAGAAGCAGTTACATAGTTGCGTCTGCAGGCGGAGTTTGTAATCTCTAGCCTCTGTAATTGAATAATGTTTCTACTATATCAAAGAGTATTTACTAATTAATCTTAAAATCATACCAAATGTTACAGATGATGGCCAGTACAACTTTCCTGCTGCAACTTCAGAACTACCCAAAAGATATAATCAACAACGAGATGGTGGAGCACTTGCTCCCGTATTTTGAGATGGAAGACTACAACATGGACACTGCAAAACGCGTCTGCGGTGACGTAGCGGGTCTTTTGTCATGGACTAAAGCGATGGCCTTCTTTCATAGCGTCAACAAGGAGGTGTTACCGTTGAAAGCAAACTTACTGCTTCAAGAAGCTAGATTGAAAGTAAATATTTTAGAAATAATTTCACTATATTATACCTATACCTATTTAACCAAACTCGTTTTTCCTTACAGGTGGCAATGGAAGACTTGGCTTCGGCTGAACGGCAGCTTGAAGAGCGTGAAATGTCCTTGCGTAAAGTTAAAGAACAATATGAATCGGCCGTATCAGAAAAGCAGCAGTTAACAGATGCTGCTAATGTGTGTCTAAGAAAGATGACTGCAGCTACGGCTCTTATCAATGGGCTTGGGGGTGAAAAAATCAGATGGACTCAACAAAGCAAAGATTTTAAAGAGCAGCTTGGACGTTTGGTCGGTGACGTCGTTCTTGCAACTGGATTCTTGTCGTACTGCGGACCTTATAACCAAGAGTTCAGAAACAGTTTGCTTGATACTTGGATGGATATATTGAAAAAGAAACAAATACCTGTTACTGATAACTTAAACATTACAAACATGCTAGTGGAGAGTGCAACTATATCCGAATGGACTTTACAAGGTTTGCCCAACGATGAACTTTCTGTACAAAATGCACTCATTGTAACGAAATCCAGTTCATATCCGCTTCTAGTTGATCCGCAGAGCCAAGGGAAGAACTGGATAAAAAACAAAGAAAGTACAAATGAGTTACAAATCACTTCCTTGAATCATAAATATTTTCGTACTCATCTTGAAGATAGTTTGTCACTAGGACGTCCACTGTTAATTGAAGATGTTGGCGTAGAACTAGATCCTGTGATTGATAACGTATTGGAAAAGAACTTCATCAAGTCTGGTTCCATAGAAAAGGTCATAGTGGGTGATAAAGAATGTGACGTAATGCCCGGTTTTATGCTTTACATTACCACTAAATTACCAAATCCTCCGTACTCTCCTGAAATAAGCGCGAAGACTTCGATTATTGACTTCACTGTAACGATGCAAGGTTTGGAAGATCAATTGCTCGGCCGAGTCATATTGATGGAGAAGTCAGATCTAGAGGAAGAAAGAGTGGCTTTGTTTGAATCGGTAATGAAAAACCAAAGAAGTATGAAAGAGCTGGAAAGTAACTTGCTTTGCCGTTTAACATCATCAGAAGGATCATTAGTTGATGATGAAGCCTTGATCCAGGTACTTCAGATTACGAAAACAACCGCTGAAGAAGTGAATGAGAAATTGAAAGTTGCAGAGGTAACAGAAAAGAAAATTATTAAAGCCCGTGAAGAATTCAGAGCAGTTGCTGGAAGAGGATCAATTCTATATTTCTTGATTGTGGAAATGAGTAACGTGAACATCATGTACCAGAACTCTTTGAAACAGTTTCTGAATATATTTGACAATTCTATCACGAAATCCACGAAAAGCAATGTTACAGAAGAAAGGATCAACATCATTCTCAAATACCTGACCTTCGAAGTATGGGCGTTCACGTTGCGAAGTTTGTATGAGCGCCACAAGGCTCTCTTTACTTTGATGTTAGCTATGAAGATAGACTGTCATAGAGGTATAATCTCACACGACGAATTTATGGCGTTTGTCAAAGGCGGCGCTTCATTGGATCTGAACGCAGTTACTCCAAAGCCATTCAGGTGGATTTTGGATATAACGTGGCTGAACTTAGTTGAGATTAGTAAATTGAAAACTTTCAATGATGTCCTTTCGAGGGTATGTCACATTCCAAATAATTAAATTTTTATGTCTTTGGTACCTGATTTATGTTCAAATTACTAATTATTATGTTTTCTAGATATCAACCAATGAAAAAGAATGGCGTGTTTGGTATGAAAAGGCAAAACCAGAGGAGGAGACATTGCCAAGTGGCTACAATGACAGCTTAGACGTGTTTAGGAAGCTCTTGCTTGTTAGATCGTGGAGTCCAGACCGAACTCTTTCCCAAGCCAGAAAATACATCGTTGGTAAGTTTTTACTATGTATCTTGTTAAAAAATAATTACTTAGCTTAAAAGTATACTTCCATTAAACTCAATGCATTTTTTTAACATCCTCAGACTCACTAGGACCAGAGTATGGCGAGGGTTGCATCTTAAACTTAGAAACTACGTGGGAGGAGTCTGAACCACGAACCCCACTTATTTGCATCCTTACCATCGGCTCTGATCCATCTGCACAGATCTCTGCCCTCGCAAAGGCTAAAGAAATTGGTATGTTTCTAAAAAAAATACGTTTACTTTAACCTTCCTTACTCAGTACTTATCTAACAGACTTTTAATTTTATCATTGATTACAGTTTTGAAAGCTGTATCCATGGGCCAAGGACAAGAAATAGTAGCCCGTAAGATGATTTCTGACTCTATGGCTGAGGGAGGCTGGGTGCTGTTGCAAAATATTCATTTGTCTTTACCATTCTGCGTTGAAGCCATGGACGCACTCATAGAAACCGAACACATAGAAGACTCCTTCCGGCTTTGGCTAACTACTGAAGTTCACACAGAGTTTCCCATTGGCCTCCTACAGATGGCCATCAAGTTTACCAATGAACCACCACAAGGTATTAGAGCTAGCATGAAACGCACATATCAAAACATTACACAAGATACTTTGGACTACTCATCTTTATCGCAATGGCCACCGCTCCTTTATGCTGTAGCATTCTTGCATACAATAGTTCAAGAACGGCGTAAGTTTGGACCACTAGGTTGGAATATACCATACGAATTCAACCAAGCAGATTACGCTGCAAGCGTCCAATTTGTCCAGAACCACCTCGATGAAATTGACCCGAAGAAAGGAATATCTTGGCCCACCATCTGTTACATGCTGGGGGAGGTCCAGTACGGTGGCAGAGTTACAGATGACTTCGACAAACGATTATTGACTACGTTCACTAACGTTTGGTTCTGTGATGTTCTCCTTCGTCCCGGTTTTGAGTTTTACAAAGGCTACAAGGTTCCACAGACGAGAAATTTACAGGGATATGTGGATTATATCAACCAACTTCCTTTACAAGATACCCCTGAAGTCTTTGGGCTACATGGGAATGCTGACATAACGTACCAGATTAACAGTGCAAAGGATATTTTGGATACGATACTCAGTGTCCAGCCGAAGGAGGGTGGAAGTCAAGGCGGGGAGACCAGAGAGAGCATAGTGTACCGTCTAGCTGAGGACATGCTGGACAAGCTGCCGAAGCAGTATGTCAGTTTTGAAGTCAAAGAAGCTCTCCAGAAAATGGGGGCCTTTTTACCCATGAACATCTTTTTGAGGCAAGTTTATCATAATTGTATTGAATAATTGGTATTTGTGGCATATTATGCTTTCATTTTTATTTTTTTACAGACAAGAAATAGATAGGATCCAGAAAGTAATCAAAACTGTGCAGTCAACACTTTGCGATCTGAAACTGGCAATTGACGGCACCATTGTAATGAGTCAAGGTTTGCGAGAATCACTTGATGCTATGTACGATGCCAGAATTCCACAAAAATGGCTCAAGGTAAGTTAAGTTTTTCCAAATATTGCAACAAAAACATACTTACAATGGGTGTATATTGGTTAAATTAAATTCGGCAATGTTGGCGATTTTCATAATTTTCTAAGCGTAGGTACCTAAACACTACTTTCCTTTTGGAACAACTTGTTCCTCAACTATGAAGAAATTCCCCAGAAAATCTCATTATAACCACAAAGTGATCTCCATAGTAGTGCTACAAGCCGACACTCCTCAGAATCGAAGCTCAAATAATAACCACAGTCTGACTTTCATTTCTCAGGTATCCTGGGAATCGGCTACTTTGGGTTTCTGGTATACTGAGCTGTTAGAGCGCGAGCAACAGTACCGAGTGTGGCTGCGTAACGGCCGACCGACCACTTTCTGGATGACTGGCTTCTTCAACCCACAAGGATTCCTCACCGCTATGAGACAGGTAAAGTATAGCGACAGCATCTGAAGTAATAACTTTTATTGCGTTTAACATTATCTTACATTTTTGTAAATATGAGGTGGAATTGCGTAAAGCAATCGTTATCATTTGACAGTTCATAAGCCGTGTGGTGACGGCAGAGTAGAATACATTTGTCACCAACCTCTACTCTTCCCGCGGGTGTCGTAAGAGGCGACTTAGGGACTACACATCAAACAGAGAATGGGCAGCAGCGCTCTCTGAAAAACATCAATCTTTTAAACTGCGATCTCCAACCCGCCTGCCAAGCGTGGAGATTATGGCAAATCCCTCCACCATAGTGGAGGAGGCTCATAGTCCAGCAGTGGACTGTAAAGGGCTGTTGATGATGATGATGAGTTCATAACGTACGATTATTCTGTCAAACGCTTTGTTTATCTGACTTTATCGTACGTTATGAACTGTCAAATGATTACGATTGCTTTATAGTTCCAAAATACTGAACTGTCCTGTCCATGACATTGACAGCGGGGCGCCACCGTCAATACCGGATCGCTGGTTCCGATTTTTGCCATGTTGGAAACCATATAGTTGAACGATGGTAGCGCCCCCCTGTCATTGAGTTTGGTGGGACAGTTCAGCGTGGGTCATCTATACACAATTCCACTTTTGGTCATGATTTTTACGTAATGGACATTACTTTCTTTCAATTTGAAAATATCGTCAAAACTTCTTTCATGGGAGTCGTAAGGATTTTTCTTTTTTGTAGGGATAACGTTATAAAATTTGTTATTTATTGTTTCAGGAAGTAACACGTAGCCATAAAGGCTGGGCTTTGGACTCGGTTGTACTACAGAACCACATCACGAAGTTGAATAGGGAGGACGTGCAAGAGGGACCGGCTGAAGGAGTGTACGTTTATGGTCTCTTCCTTGAAGGTAAATATAGAATTGATATTATTCAATGTAATAAAGCTACTGATTAAATTTCCTTAAACTTGTCCAAGTGCCTGATCGTAGTGATTTTACTATCTTCTATAATATAAAACTCAACAACGCCTGGACCAATTTTACCAATTCTCTTTTTTAATGTTCGTTGAAGTCCAAGGATGGTTTTTACGGCGAGAAAAATTCTAATAATTTCCATGAAAACCCCGGGCGAAGCCGCGGGCGGAAAGCTAGTACTTCATAAAAATATGGTAAAATGTGAGCTCATTTTTTCATTTATACCATCTGTGATTCCAGGAGCATCACTAGACAGAAAAACTGGAAAATTGATTGAGTCGAAGCCGAAGGTTTTGTACGAGCAAATGCCAGTTATCTACATATTTGCTATCAACACGACTGCTGGCAAGGACCCTCGTCTTTACGAGTGTCCCATCTATAGGTATACTCCTAAGAATTTGTAGTAAAACATCAAGCTGCTCTTATAAGTAGATGTGTCCTATGATGACCCAGTTTGTTTCATCTTTTTAACAAAATAACCAAAGTAGATTTAACTAAATTAAAAATAAGTTTAATTTTGCATGCCAAAAGGTGGAAGATGGAGATACTAAATACCCTTGTTCGCAAATTAAATATATTTGATTTGATTTGATTTGAAAAAAAAAGTTTGAACGTAAAACCTTATACTTACAGGAAGCCTCAAAGGACAGACGCTAAATACGTGGGGTCCATCGACTTCGAAACGGACAGCAACCCGCGTCACTGGACCCTACGGGGGGTGGCTCTCCTATGCGACATCAAGTAGATATAGCATCGTCTCTGTGTTTCGATCGATCGACGTCTATTTATTTATTTTATTTCGGTTCATCTACAATCGATCTGTATTCAATGCAGTGCTATTTGTTCCTTGTATTTTTATGATGTTCAAAGTTTAACAAAATAAATAATATTTATTGTTACTACTTAAACTGTATATTATTGGAGTATTTTTTTAAATATTTTACATTTCATTGACTAATTCTATTTTATCATTATCAATTTTTGAAAAAGTTACTTAATGTTAAGGTATTTTAATTAAATAAATGTCACTGATTGTTCAGTTGTTCTAATTAACCCAAATGTTAATGAATGTTATTAATAAAAGGAAACAAACTTTTCAAAATATGACTAGATTTCGAGTTTTAGAGCACTTTATTAAAAAAAAATCAGATCTCAAATTGTTTTTTCATATTTTTTATAGGGATAGTACCTACATTAGTATCTTAGAGCTACCTCCCCTAGCAGTTTGATTCACCCATTCTGGGACACCCTGTATATCTTTTTAATTTATTAAAGACAGGCAATAATATTTTATTTAAAGTCCGTTCTCTTAGGGTGAAATTTGTATACAGGGTCTTGATTTGAATCCTCGCCATATTTATTTAGGTGATCTATTATGACCTATTTAAACACATTATCCACCAAAAAAAAAATTACAAAGGAAATTAAATTTTTTTCGAAATCAATTTTTTTACTGATTCATCATCAGAATAAGCTACTTAATCAACTCCCTAAATATGGCGAGTATTGAAATCAACACCCTGTATAGTTCACTTTGTGATCCCGGCACTAAATTTTAGTATGTTGTTAAGCATGTTATTCTGGCTTAAAAACCGTCGGGAGCCACTTTCATCCACGAAGACGCGCCGCACCACTTTTTGGTTGAGGAAAGCGCGGGGTGCGGGGAGTAAAATTAATAACATAAAATGTTTTGCTGTTTAGTATACAAATTGCATTTAAATTAGCATTTTTAGTTGTTTAAATCAAAGGAATTAATGTCGTTTTGAACCGACGTTTGGACGAATTTATCGAAGTAATGAGCAATCGCTAATGGGCCTTTCGCTATAGGATTTTTCGCACAAACTTTATATACAGTGTGAGTCACGTTAAAGTGTACATATGAAAATAGATGAAACTAGACCTATTTTTATCGACAAAAAAGAGGTCAAAAAATTTTTGAGGATTTTTTTAAATTTTTTAAAGATTTTTTTTCTTCCAATTATTTATTGTAAAGAAAACGTAATAACTTTTAAACTAAGCGGTATATCCTGATAAAATAAAAACAGTAATAATGCTAAATAAAATAACAGGCAATACTAAAAATACATAAAATACACAAAAAAGGCCAACAAATAATAAAAAATTAAACTTTTTGAAAAAAATCTGCTTTTAAATTGGTGTTTTTTTGGTTATTTGAATTTTTTTTCCATTAAATGCCCCTATAACCGGTACTTTTTATTATTATCTATCGTATTACCTTCGTAAAACCGAAAATCGCATGTCTCTATCCCTATCACAACGTTTGCAATGATCGTTTGAACTAAGCCTCTCCGGGCGCGCCATTCAACGCTTTGTTAACCACGAAACTGAAAATGGCTCTAGATTTGTAATTTTGATAAAGACAAGTTAGAAATCAAATAAAAACAAAAGATTTCGAAGTAAAATAAGCATTTTACTTAAAATTAAAATTGTCTCTACCTGTAGCGGAGAATAATGTTGTGGCAGGCCTTTGTTCAAACGATCATAGCAAATGTTGTGATAGGGATAGAGACATGCGATTTTTGGTTTTACAAAGATAATACGATAGAGAATAATACAAAGTAATAAAGACCACTTGTTATAGGGGCATTTTTTGGAGAAATTTATCAAATAACCAAAAAAACCCGAATTTAAAACCAGATTTTTTTCAAAAAGTATAATTTTTTATTATTTGTTGGCATTTTTTGTGTATTTTATGTATTTTTTTAGTATTGCCTGTTATTTAGCATTATTACTGTTTTTATTTTATCAGGATATACCGCTTAGTTTAAAAGTTATTACGTTTTCTTTACAATAAGTAATTGGAAGAAAAAAAATTCCATAAAAAATTAAAAAAAAATCTCAAACATTTTTGACATCTTTTTTGTCGACAAAAATAGGTCTAGTTTCATCAATTTCCATATGTACACTTTAACGTGACTCACACGTATATGATATAATAAAAATCGAACCATCAACTTTCGAAAACAAGTAGGGAACCCGGATAAAACGATCTACCTGTACATAAAATCCGTTAATTAATTATTATTTGTCATGGCAACGGTTTATCATTGACAACGAGGTCAGAAGGTTTATGAACGCTTCCTTAGCGACCGAATTACTAGGGAGGTAAATGAAATGAGGAGGTAAGGTAATGAGGCCGACGCCAACACGCGTTTCCGATCGTGAAATTGGGATAAGAACGGAAGATTGTTATTAATTTTGCGACCTTTTGAACTTTGGTGATGTCGGTCATTTACCTGTAAATTGACAAAATTAATTACTATAATTCGCAAAAATGATTCTAAGGGCCCTCCCTCGCCCACGGCCACTTTTTGTCGCGCGTTTCGTAAACGACGACAGCATCTCTACTAACGCGTGTTAGACGCATTTGCAACGCAATACAGAAGTGATGCCAACGCGCTACAGCAGCGCGACTGCATCGTTACAAAAAGTCGCCGTGGGCGGTGGCCCTAAGGTCTATATTTCACCGGGACACCATGGCGGCGCAACCAGTCGCCCGCTACCAACAAAACGTATACAGCTCTATAGAGAGTTACTCACCTTTGTGTCCGTTTGGTTGCGCAAAGCTGTATACATTTTCTTAGTGGTGTCCCGGTGAAATATAGCCCTAATAGGTAGGCTTATAAGTACCTAATAGTTATAAATTGCGTGTAGTTATAAATTACTAGCGGCCGCCCGCGACTTTGTAGGTACGAGTGGACCCCGTTTTATCCCCTTAGAGGTAGAATTATGAAAATCCCGTCTTAGTGAGCACCTACGTTCTAAAAGGAACCCCACACTGTTGATTTGTAGTTTCTGAGACGTTGTAGTTTCTGAGAACATGTTTGTTGTAGTTTCTGAGATTTCTTGATGAGTGAGTCAGTATCAGCGACCTTCCGCTTTTAAGATATAATATACAGGGTGGAAACGTTAAGTGATCTCACTCGATTATTTCTAAACTAAACAAGATATCGAAAAACTGATTACTGATTCTGAAAGTGCTTCACAAGCTCTTTCAAACGGTACCAATAATAGGTTACAGAATAAACTGGATCTATCCGAAAATTCAATGTTTCCAGCTTCCATACATTTAGTAAAACCACATAATATTAAAAACTATACAAAATATTCAAAAACTGATTACTGATCCTGAAACAGCTTTACTAGCTCTATCCAACGGTACCAATAATTGGTTATAAAATAAACTGGATCCATTCGAAAATTCAATGTTTCCAGCTTCCATACATTTAGTACAGCCACAGTCATGGCACTCATGTCTTGTTAATTTTATAGCAAGTAAAACCTAAAACCAATGTTTTCCAAGAATAATTTTAAATAAGAATGCTATTTACGAGTTCATTTTAAGTGTTTATTATTTAATAAACAAAATTAATAATTCTATTATTGTTTGGCTGGCATACATTTAGTATGGAGGCTGAAAACATTAAGTTTTCGGATAGATTCAGTTAATTCTGTAACCTAATATTGGTACCGTTGGATAGAGCTTGTGAAGTACTTTCAGGGTTAGTAATCAGTTTTTCGATATCTTGTATAGTTTAGAAATAATCGAATGAGATCACTTAACGTTTCCACCCTGTATAGAGAGTTACTCACCTGGTGTCCGTTGGTTGCGCAAAGCTGTATACATTTTCTTAGTGGTGTCCCGGTGAAATATAGCCCTAATAGGTAGGCTTATAAGTACCTAATAGTTACAAATTGCGTGTAGTTATAAATTACTAGCGGCCGCCCGCGACTTCGTACGACTGGACCCCGTTTTATCCCCTTAGAGGTTGAATTATGAAAATCCCGTTTTAGTGAGCACCTACGTTCTAAAAGGAACCCCAATGCAAAATTTGAGACTCCTGGCACATGTAGTTTCTGAGATTTCGTGATGAGTGAGTAAGTCAGTATCAGCAACCTTTCGCTTTTAAGATTTATTATAGAGAGATAAAACAACTATGGGCGTGGGCAAAAATTTAGATCCAGTTTCCAAAGCGAACAAGAGAGGAAATGTATTTGAAAAACCAATCAGATTTCGTTATTTCCACATGACTTCTCCAGTCAGTTCAACTCGGAAATCTGACTCTACGTCGCCTCGAGCGTTGCGACTTTAGGGGACTATTCCCACCTCTTGTTCTCACCACTGCAACTCCTGTGTAGCCAGGATCTACAGTTTGAGCGCCACAAAAACCCAACCAATGAAGGTCAAGTTTGTCCCGGGGGAAAGTTAAACTGTCATTGGACCCGCAACGAAATTAATCAGAAGAATATAGGAGTTGCGGCTTGTAAAGTCTCGAGTATCCCTAGTATCACCACCTATCCTATCACCCTGTATGTATACGTAGAGCCATTCAAAAGTAAATAAAAAATTCGGAATAAAAACCAAAAAGAGCATAACGTGGATGTGGATTCTACCCGTCGGAGACGCCGGGTATCGATCCCGGGACCCTCGCCACTAGGCGAGCGCTCTTCCATCTGAGCTACGTTTCCTGTAGGCAATGTAGCGAAATTGGGGATATGCTTCGTAAAATTCATTTGTAGAATGCAAAGTTGCCGGGGAAAGTATACAGTGTGTCTTGATAAAGTGCATATATCTATTAAAACAGGTGATAGACCTATTTTTATCGACAGAAAAAATGACAAAAGTATCTGATATTTTTTCAAAGTTTTTTGTAGATTTTTTTTTCTTTCAATTACTTACTTATTGTAAAGAAAACGTAATAACTTTATACTAAGAGACATATTATCCTGATAAAATAAAAGCAGTCATAATGCTTTATGCAGGTGATACTAAAAAAATATATCGCATACCAAGAAAATGCCAACAAAAATAATAAAATGTTACTTTTTGAAAAATAAAATCAGCATTTAAATTCGTGTTTGGTTATTTCCTTTGTAAAACCAAAAATGTCATGTCTCTATCCCTATCACATTTGCTATGATCGTCACAAGCTGACCCGGCGAAATTCGTAGCGCTTTGAAAATATTCTATAGCATAATAATATGTTCAGATGTAGCATTCAATGGGGAAAGAATTTTGGAGCCTATAATATTCAATCAGTTTTAAATATACCTATTTAAATGTACCTTTAGAGTAAGTATGTACTAAGGGGCGCTGTTCTAGAACATTCTCCCATAAATCAATCATTTGGGAATATGCGCGATGGACTAGTTTGCAGACTCACACAGGAACCTTGGGACCCATTGCGCATGTTCGTTTTTGTTTAGCAGTTGTCAAATTGGGGTTCACATCGATTCGTGCCGAGTCATTTTACCAGGGACGCAGATCTCGCGAGGGGTGGGTTGGTATATGTGTGGGTGTGCTCGTCACTCACACACGCAAAAGCCAGACAGGTGTAGCCAGACCAAAAACTGCAAATTTATACTAATTCGTATTTGATACCAGCAACATAAATTTATTTAGTACCATTAGAATATTTCACCAAATCATCAAGTAAGTAAAAAATGTTTTTACTGATGATGAATAATGAGGAAATTAATGGTTTGCACAGTCAACAGCACATCAGAATACATTTTGTCGCAAAATAGCCTGTATCAACGAGATAAGACGCCACTGTGATAAGCTTGATGTGCTAACGTCCGTACATCTTTATATTTTTTGTAAACGCCAATATTATGTTAAAAGTCCTCCCAATCAGAAGACTAGAAGTAAATACAGAGAACCAGAGGTTTGTTGATACAACTGATACAACCAACCAGCTCAGGCGTCCGGAACGCGTCTTAGCAACAAAAGTACCAGGGAAGTAGAGGAGGTGAAGTGATTTCAATGATGCCAAAATTCGTTGCCATGGTAACGGCACGCATTTTAAGCACATAAAGCCGGTGTTTTCATCATGAGATTACGATGTTAGCCTTCTTGGCAACAGTCTGGTTCTGTCTAGCTGAGCTTCAGGACCAAACAAAACAAATTAAATTATTTTTTTACTGATAAATATGTTCCCAGATCTCCATGAACGTTCTCATTAGCCTCATAATTATCCTAGCCAGTTTTTTGTTTTCTTTCAACCCAAGTTAACTTCTGTTTTAAATTTTAAAACCATTGGTTCCGCTTCAGGGTGTCTTTCCTGTGCCTAAAGTAGGTACTGGGGAGTTAAGCAAATGACTAGTGTCGCCGCCGCCCTCGACTCGAATTGTCGTCTACTCGGTTAACGGAAAACCGCCTGATAAATAAAATATGATCATCCAAAATGTGACCATATATAAAAAAACGTATTTAAAAAGGTACCAAAAAGCATAGACTTGCACCGCTATATTCACAGTCACGCACACACAGATAAGTAGTTTCATGGACTGTCTGATACATCTCAATACATAGCTCACAGACAAAGCTGCGTGTGTAGTGTGCTTCTGCGCGTTATGTACAAGTGATGCATTCGGCCATTTCGGATCGGGCATCTCGTGAAGAAGGTTGCAGTGCATACAGTAATTAATTATTGTGCCAAGTATTGATTCAAGTGGTCATCAAGCAGTCCCTGAAGCTTTCATCATGGCGAATAGGGTAAGTAATATTGCTCAAACTATTGATTGTGTTGTTTGTTTTGAAGCAACAGATTGCTAGAAAAACTATGACGCCCCATGTAAAAGTGAAAATTTTATTTTTTTATTAACTCAAATTAAATAATTATTCGATAATATTAATCGATTTTGGTAATTAGGCTTCCAAAATCTAGATAATTCTAAATTTCTAGGTCTGTTAGTAACAAAATCCAGGTACCCGCGGGGCTATAAAGGGGTGACCTGGATGACCTAGTTTAAGAAAAATCGATGGAGCCGAACTCTATACCGGGGAAATGTATTGTTATCTCACAGCGGTGATTTGATGAAGGAATCTGGAGGCGGTTGATTAATAGTGGAATCATAATGAGAATATATTTATTTCAATTGTTTTGGTAACACTTTATTACTTAATATAGATTTTGGACATATATTTATTTTGTCCATTGTTATTACAGTGTATAACATGGTTCCCATGTTTGCTTGCCTGCTTGGTACACACACAAGGCCGGCCACCGGCAGATAATCGGGGGGAGATATTTCCCGCTTTCATCATGCAATATACCTACTTATATTATTACAATTTCTTTGACGACGCACGTATGAACGTCGGACATTTTGTGTATCACAGCCACGGCAAGTGTGATGTTATGATTAAGCATTTTTAGTGATCGGTAATGGATATTTCTATCCATATTGACATCTTATTTTTCAAAAAATGAAGCGGGCTATGACTGTTTATTTTCTAGGTGATAAGCAAATAAAAATATAAAGATATATCAAGGTATTTATCCAGATACACAAAGTGTAAATGTTAGGAAATAAACACATCTACTAAAACATAAAAACGACTTTTACTCTTTTCCTATCACTGATACCTCAAAGAAAAAAAACATACCTAGTTTTCTAAAATCTTCTCCAATCAAAATTCAAATTCAAATTCAAAATTTATTTATTGGAAACAAGAAATCACTCTCTAAAAATGTTCGATATAATCTGCGCAGGACCTGAATATTCCGTGTTAAGTTTTTTACATTTTTAAAAGTTGGGTAATGGTAGACACTGAGCCGAGAAATTGCGACAGTTGGCACTTTTGGCTTCTTTCCTGGAGGATATTGGGAAGATGAAGAATGAAGTTGTGTTCATGGTTCTGAAAAAAAATTGACATGAGGGGACATCAAATTGTTGTAAACCTGTATTATACTGAATACATTTTTTCTTCCTTTCTTTCTTTCAAGAAAATCATGATAGGGCTTTGCATAAAAAACGCAGTTGCATTACAATCATAAGACAAAACCAGAATCAGTGTACTTACCATGAGTTTACGTTACGTGTGCTCGCTAGCGACTGCGTAAAAAAATGACACCTAATTGTATGACATATTGTGCAGCGCCCCTAGCGGCTACTTTCAAGAAACAAAATCTCCATAGAGATTTTTGACGTTTTCGCTAGCGAGCACACCTAACGTAAACTCATGGTAGGTACACTGTTACTAAAAACTTGGGCGTGACGTCATCAAGAACAGCGCATGCGTGAAAGGTTACCTAGGTTATTGTTCTAGAAAACTAAGAACAAATTGTTTCAATAGAACAAAGGCACTGCTAAGGGTTTTATGGGTCGTCTTTGGACAAGCTAAATCATTACAAATAGCTTGCTGACCGTCAAGAAGGTAGTTCTGACATCGGGGCCGTCCATATATTACGTCATTCTAAATTTGGGGGGGGGGGGTTGGTCTGCGGANAAAAAAAATAAAAGGTGATTCTAAAAGTGTTTTAATTTTGTCAAACTGGTAATGACGTCAATTTTGGGAGAAGGGGGGGGGGGTCATTAAGAAATGACGCTAGGATGATTGTAGGGGGGGGGGTCTAAAATCTGAAAAAATCGATGACGTAATTTATGGACGGCCCCATCGGCCATCCCCACTCACAAACAAGATCATGATACACATATGTCAAGTATACTTCTCTACGGAATCCTACAACAGTGATCTATGGGCAAAGAAGTATCATCGCTAGTAATATTCTTTTCTGAAGGCTGAAGGCCACAAACATTGATCAGATGATGGGTGAGGTTGTGTTTTTAGTCTTGAAAAACATTTGACACGAGACCAAACACTATGTGGTATTGGAAGACAACAAGAACTTCTAAGAAGACCTGGAAGACCAAGTGGTGATGCATGACAATCATAACGGAGTTGTGCTTCAAAGAAAAACGCGGTTGAATTACAATCATTAGACTAAACCAGAGTCTGTTACAAAGGACTTGGGCATCCATTTTGCAAGGCTACCTAGGTTGTTGTTCTAGAAAACTAAGAACAAATTGTTTCAACAGGACAGAGGCACTGCTAAGGGTGTTATGAGTCGTCTTGGACAAGCTAAGTCATTACATACAAGGAGCTTCGTGACCGTCAAGAAGGCAGTTCTGGCATCTGGCATCACAACTCGCAAACAAGATCATGATACACAAGTGACAAGCACCTATACTTCTGTACGGAATCCTACAACAACAGTGATCTGTGGGTAAAGAAGTATCATCGCTAGCAATATTACTTTCTGAAGGCCACAGATATTGATCAGATGTTGGGTGAAGTTGTTCCCTTTGTCTTGAAAAAGATTTGATACGAGACCAAACACTACGTGGTATTGGAAGATAACAAGAACTTATAAGAAGACCTGGAAAACCAAGGTGATGCATGAAAATCAATATAGGGTTACTATTACTACTCAAAGATGAACGTGTTTGCATGACAATCATGACAAATGGGGTTGTGCTTCAAAGAAAATCGCGGTTACATTACAATCATAAGACAAAACCAGATTCTGTTACAAATAACTTGGGTATCCATTTTAAAACGTGGCGTGACGTCATCAAGAAGTGTGCATGCATGTAAGACTGTCAATGAATTATATTTCTAGAAAACTAAGAATAAACAGTTTCGATAGGACAAAGGCAATGCTAAGGGTGTTATGAATCGTCTGTGGACAAACTAAATCATTACAAAGAGTTTCCTGGCCATCAAGAACGTAGTTCTGACATCAATACTCGCAAACAAGGTCATGAATCATGATACACAAATGACAAGACTAAGTATACTTCTCTACGGAATCCTACAAAAATAGTGATCTGTTGGTAAAGAAGTATCATGGCTAGCAATTTTCTTTTCTGAAGGCTGAAGGCCACAAACATTGATCAGATGATGGGTGAAGTTGTGTTCTTTGTCTTGAAAAAGAATTTGAGACGAAGACCAAGTGGTGATGTATGACAATCATGATAAGGTTGTGCTTCAAAGAAAAACGCGGTTGAATTACAATCATAAGATTAAACCAGAGTCTGTTACAAAGGATTGGGCATCCATTTTACAACGTGATGTGGCGTCATAAATAAGTGCAATAGGACAAAGCTACTGCTAAGGGTGTTATGAGTCGTCTTTGGACAAGCTTAACTATTACAAGGAGCTTGTTGGCCATCAAGAATGTAGGTCTTTTGTCACTTAAAAAAATTACATGAGACCAGACACTACGAGACATGGAAGCACGACAAGTACTGTAAGAAGACCTGAAGGACCAAGTGGTAATGCATGACAATCACGACATGGGGTTGTGCTTCAAAGAAAAACACGGCTGCATTACAATCATAACACTAAACCAGAGTCTGTTACAAGGGACTTTGGCATCCATTTTGCATCGTGACGTGGCGTTATAAAGAAGTGAGCATGCGTAAAAGGCTACCTAGGTTGTTGTTCTAGAAAACCAAGAATAATTTCAATAGGACATAGGACATAGGACAAAGAAAAAAAAACAGAGTTTCTTGACACCAAGTATCTTAAAACTAGGTACTTCATTGATGAATTCATATTTTGCAAAGCAGATCAAAGGCGAATGTTTTTCTTCAACAATATGAATAAGTGTGAACATTTGTGCTGTGCTTATTTGCTCTGCGAATGTATGGACACCGTCCATAATAAGAAGATTGTAGGTAATATTAAGATCATAGGTACTGATATTAAGGATGACAACGTTTATTTTGTAAAGAATGATTGCTTTCATTTGATAATCTTCTTTCTTAGATTCCATTTTGGTTTTAGGTTTAAGTCGAACACATATTTTATCAGGTTTTGGTTCATCATTAATCTTATCATTCTATTTTTCATCTAAATGCTCATGTTCCATGCACCATTGCTAGTTTTATTTTCCCAGCTTGTATTATTTATCGTCTGGAAAGTGTATGACTTCATTCATCTCGCCATTTCTTTTAAATTCAAATAGTAGCAGTTAGGTAATTTTTGGTAGAGATTTTACTCGTCAATCATGTTTGTTAAGTTTTTCATTGCCAACACTTACCTCTTTGATAATTTCACATAAAATTTACTTAATACACCAAGTATTTTCTGTGATGGTGCCTCCAAAATCTTATATTTTTGCTTTAAAGCTTTTCTCTATTATTCAGTACAGTTCTGTGGTTTTCGATACTTAAGTCTTAATGCAGACGTGAGTTGATGATGACCAGCTTCCAGGAATATCAGGTCTCAGCAGGGTTTTGATATCTTGAAAGACACCAATTGCAGTTTCAACCAGTACCTACATGGCATTAAGAACTTCACTTTATAGGAAATATCGAAGACTTGTCAGATATTCTTGATCTTTAGGTTCTAATATGTATTCGTAGACTACTGCCGTTGATATTATTCGATTGGTTATTTAGAGTTTGGTAGTGGAGATGAGCAGTTCTGTTGAGGGCATTTTCTCATTAGATCTTCATTCCATACCTTTGTTTCTTCTTAGTCCTTCTTAGAATTCTTAATCAGCCAGGTCTAGGGTATCTGTGTTTAATCTGCTTTGCGTATGTAAACAAATAAGAAGCCAGATAAACAAAGCCCTAATTTAATCGCTGCAGCCAAGTTAGCGAGTAACTTGAAAGGATTTGGGCAGGTCAAACCCACCTTAAGGGCTGGTGGTGGAACTCCTGTGTGCTGCACTGGACGGCACGTAACGTCACGTAAAAATGGACGGAGAAGGACATCGTAGAAACGACTGGCCCGGCCGGGACAAGACTCATTTCGGATAGAAAACACTGGAAAATAGTGGAGAAGTCCTACACCCATGTGATAAGTGTACGTGAAAGTAAAAATAAACGATATACGAAGGTGGATTGATACGTTAGCGGCCTTAATTTATGTTTCTTTTTAGTTACTGTAAAAATCTTGTTTTGGCAATAATACATGTTTCTTCGAATAAAAAAAAACTGTATAAAATTGAGTAAAAATTGAATGCGGTTATCAAGTTACTGGACTTCCTATTTATCTGAGGAGCCTTCATGATAACAAAAAGGGTGGTGGAAATCTGAAATGAATGAGAGCACCCGAGACACGCTCCGGCCGGCCCAGGACGTCTTCGGCTGAAAATAGTTCGGTGTCTGATTTCATTGCCAGATCAGAGAGTATCCAGGAGTTTGCTGACGCTAAGTGTTTGCGCCACATCCCTTGCGCCGGGTGCGCGCGCAACCGAACCCGCCGACCTTCGGTTTTCACTCGAAGGATGCCGAGTTGAACGCCATACCCTTGATGGGTCTGCTGCGTACTTAAGTATTAGTTACAGTACTAGAGATACTAAATTTTGAGGCTGATCGACAAGATTTCTCCATAGATCTCACCAATCAAGATTAATGGATGTTATTTTTTATCATCGCTATCCCAAACAAATACAAGGATTGTTAAATTTCTGGTAGCTTAACCGCTTAGAAAAGAACAGATAGTTTTGTTAGCTGTCGAAGTCACATTTTGCAGTGCTTTGGGAAATATATTTAAAAAAAAACGATGAATCTTTATGTCCTATTTTATTTTATTTAATTTTTTATCGGCCGCGAACTTTCAATCCACTTTCGCATTACTTTTAACGAAGTTTTATTATTACATTTTTACTTTATTTTTCACTCATGAAGGCTTTATTTATCCGTATATTCTTTAATGATAGGTGTTAAAGTATGAAAATGCCATTTGTATGAAGAATTTGAGAAAATTCATTTTTCCATACCATTTTTACAATTTTTTAAAGAATCACAAATCTGAATTATTAAGCTACTTATAGGATACATAAAGGAAAAAATATACTTGTAGAAAGATGTTCATATTTTTGTAACGAAAACGTACTTACATCACTTTTGACGATTTATTTTTATACGTAAATACATACATGTGCTTGAAATGAAATTTAAAAGAAAAAATCATAACCCTCCTTCTGGTGCAGTCGGGTAAAAAGAATAATGAACATACGAGTAGCTGTTGTATTATGGAATTATGTACTAATGAATATTGAAGAAAAAATTGTCGATTTCATACTTTATCCCCTATTATTAAAATATGAACACCACTCAGTGTGTTAAAAATAACGAATCCTATTGGACCTTCTTAATATACCTTTGACGCACATTATGCCTGGCTGGCAACATGGGATAGCTTACAAGGAAAGTTCTTTTCTTAAAACCAAAACTGAGTGGACCTGAGCACTTTTAAGCTTTCATAACAGCTTTTACATATAATAAGTAGTAGACGAAGATGAATCAATCAATAATATGAATCAAGAATTTTAATAATTTATTTATAGTGAACATAAATCTTACTACTTAACAGCTTTAAACTAAAAAAAAGTGATAATCTACCTCTGGGCTTCGGCTTGACACTATTTTTGGGACACCCTGTATATAGCTATGAGCTATGCTACTCGTATGTTCCTATAATTACCTAAGTGTCAACTTCTGAAATTGCTCATCCAATCGTTTATCAACAGGGCGGCAACCCACCTATAATCGACGATCAAAACATGAAGCTTGAGTTCTGCTCGGTCGCCACGATGGTGCACGACCAGCAGATCGTGATAACTCTGAAGCTCGTGCCGTGCGACTACGAATCGCGCGTGTCTCTCACGCGCAACGTGTCTGCCGTGCACCGCCTGTGCAGGGATGAGTTCACCAAGGCGGTAAGGATTAACTGATTTCTATGCTTAAGATTAAAACATTTTCAAAAACTATAGTAGTTTTCTTTATTAATCAGAATTTAAATCAACCTGTTAATTTCATAATGATCTAGGTATTTTGTGAAAATGAATTCTAGCTTTAAAGCCCTGTGGGTATAGTATAGTGGTCGACCTATGGGTAGTTAAAGTATTTAGCCATATTCTAGGGTGTGGTTTTGTAAAACAACTCCCATCTCAGGGGTGGTCAATAGTACACGACACTGATGGCAACAAACAAATAAAAAAATACCTGACATTTTCATGGAAAAATCATGAAATCAGGAAAATTAAATTATTATGCGGGCGAGCTATCGGTCAGTCTCCCCGCTCTCCCGGGGCGGCCGCATGTGCTCGGTGGTGTAGCGGGGTACGCGGGGGTGGTGCGGGCGGTAAGAAGCGCCGTCGAAAGTTTTAGGAGAGAGAGAGAGAAAGTTTATATTTTTCTTATAATTACTTCCACGTGTACTACCACCACTCCGAGAGAAGGCGCTGTCTTCCATGAATAAAACGCGATGACAAAAATTTCGCGTTCTTCACATCACTACTTCACTTATTAACTTTCATTCGATTACCATTGTAAACGTCAAAACGTTTTAGTCTAAATTTAAATCAAAATTATTCATTTTTGAATACGAGTACTACCCATCCCAGCTGAACCTGATCTGCTAGTCTGAGGCGCAAACATTGGTTGGTTGAATTGGTTGTTTTAAAAAACCACATCCTGTATGTAAAGGTAATAGGGCAGTAAGCTGTACAATGAGACCTACTAGTTACAAACAAATTAATGAAATTGTTTTAATGCATTTTCATTATAATTTATATTAGCTACAGGTTCCAAAACATTACTTTTAGGGTCTGCCGCAGGGCATCAGGTACAACGTGTTCGTGTACTCCTTGATGCAGCCCTTCGTGCAGATAATCTTGAGCACGAATTTGCCGGACTTTGCCAGGAGCGAGAACGTCATGTACGCAAGGGGGTTCCACCAGCTGAGCAGGCGCTGTGAGGAGAATGTGGTGGCGCAGGTAATTTGGCTTTGTTGACCTAGATGTAGATTTGATGTATGTAGATACGATACTCCGTCAAAAGATCATCTTGGTGCGCAGAGCTAAGCATCTTTAATTTATGTGACAGAGACGTGGCGGTAACTGTCAAGCAAACACATACACAGTTCTGTATCTGTGCATAACAATTTTGTAACTGCATTGTGATAAAAATCAACTCAATAAGAACTTGAACAGTCTCAATAACCATAACATGACTTTACTTTGCAATCACAGCTCGATCCATGTTATGCATTTAGAAAATTTTGGCCACCTGTCTTTATGCTATATTTTTGTAAATAAAATGAAATAATAAATTGTGGTAGGAAACAAGAAGTGTGGTCTAGTAGGAGATAAAAATTTTGTGCCTCCGACTAACTTAATATAGGCAGTCCGGAAACTTTTGGACCTTTGGACCTTTTGAACCAGATTAAACGCATTGATCGCCATCGCGCACGCGGGCTGATCGCGTTGGTTTGGCTGAACCTTCTATTTGTATGTATGTATGTCGAAGACTTTTTTATTTGTTTACAGCTATATGAAACGCAGCGCGTGCGTCGCGACGTAGCTGAATATATGTCAGGTACAGGAGCCCCACTTTGCATTGAAATGTTGCTTGCCATGTTACAGGATACCATTAACCCACCTGGGTAAGTTTCTTGTAGTATTATCCATAGGGCTTTATTATAGACAGTATTATTTATACAGGGTGACTTTGCAATCAATATTCAAATTTTTAGGACTCAGAATCAGTAACTTGTTCGGTTTACGTAAAAAAAATCATTTTTTCATATTTAATTATTTTTATTATCCTCTGCGCTCGATTTCAAAATTGGCACACGTGGATAATTTGCTTCGTTCATAGAAAAAATATATCACACAGTTAACTACAAAGCTTAATAGACATAAATGGTACGCGAGTACCTTACCCTTTAAAAATTAAGATATAGGCTGGGCACCCACGATTTAGATTTTCAATAAATTTTTTCGCGAAAAATACCGTGATTAAAATTAATTAAGATAAAGTTGTATTGTTAAATTGTTCTATGGAACTTATTAAAAAAATTGAATACTGATTACAAGATCATCCTGTATAAATATTTTTTATTCATTTAGTTGCCCCGTATGTTAAGAATAAATTCAGTTCTCGGTAAAAACCGAAATAATTATCTTCATATTAAGAATTAAATTTGCATGCACTTAAGCGATTTTTTTTTATTTACTAAAAGAATAGTAGTATTTTGCTTTTGCACAAATTACATAGTCGCGCTTTTGCACAAATTACATACGCCTGCATACGCTCGTATTCACAAACGATGCTTGCTTAAGTGAAGCAACAAATCGAACGCACAGCGTTGAATACAGCTTTTGATTAGTTGGTGTGTCACCCTGTGCCACGCGCACTGTGAGACCTCATAGTAATATTTGTGAATACGGGCGATAGTCGCGTTCCTCGGATGGCGGATCAGCCGGTCCGACCCCTTCACCGTGGCTATCATGGCTTCGTGCTCGAGTTGATCAAGTACACTAAAAATAATAGATTAATTTAAAAATTATAGAGTCCACGAAGACGCGCCCAACCACTTTTTGGTTGAGGGAAGCGCGGGTTGGGGGGAGTTTGATTTGAGTGCTGTATTATTTAATAATATTGGCGACGTTGGACATGGAAATTAATAAATTAAAATGAATTAGAGCAACCCTGAAGGGCAGCCTTACACGAACTCAGAATATTGTAAGTACAGTGACTGAAATCTCCGACGAAGCTATTACATTACGAAACTCCCCGCACCCGCGCTTCCCTCGCCCAAAAAGTGGTGGGGCGCGTCTTTGTAGATGACGATCTATAATAATTTTGGAAACAGCTTAGTTCTTTTCTTAAAATCTTTGCTCATTTATGATTTTCACTAAATAGGTTTATTAAAGCTTCATTTTATATTCGTCTTGGTAAACTCAGTGTTTAATTGATAATTTCGTCTAATTTATTCAAATTACTCAGTATTTTGGTGTCGTAAAATATTATATGAATTGTTATTAATTTATAAAATAAAGATCCAAATACTAAATTAACATATAATTAAAACATTTCAGGGACAGATCCGAACAAATTGCTCAGGCATTGAACCGGATGGCCTTAAATACCGATGCAGGGACAGAGGACAATAATTATAACACTCCCCAGATGCGGGTCACTGTTAATGTCCGATTTCATGGAAAAGTAATTATAATGAGATGGGATGACGATATGGTGGATATTACTTACTAATTGATTCACCATACATTCTATCAGAATTGGTACGAATTCAATGTATGTTGTTGTGTGTTCATTTTTTTTTAGTGGTAGCAAGTTGGGTTAAGTAACTTTAGAGTACCTCTGCATTGGTAGTTAATGTTAGGCGCCTTCAAAATGATTAAAATTTGGAGGATTTGGAGTCGCCGTTTACAGACAGAAGGCTGCGAGAGCTAAGGAGGACACTGAGTTTCGATTGAATATAACTTTTATTTGCACACCAAAAGTTAGGGGGCTGATATTTTTTAGGGTATAGCATCCTTCAACCACAATATTAATTCAGTTCACTTGATCTTTTAGGACACACAAAAAACACACACACGCACTGATTTGCATGTATCCATCTTTTTTTAGTGTACTTGATCCAAGTTTCAGTAAGTAGGCATTCTACAATTTTTTAGTTCATGATTTTGTTAATCTTGTAGTTTAATAATTTTAATTGCTCATTGATTGATTAGAGGAATCATAATTATTACTTATTTCTGTATACGATGTAGGTATTAAAGTAACTAGACATTATTTCAAATCGCTTTCTATCATAACGATGTTTTTATATTATTTATAGGCCATCCGCTGATGTAAATGGAGGTCTGGGTGCCATGAATGCTGTTTATAACCCAGTCCGACTTAATCAACCTGGCGGAAGTCAGCGTAGGAAAAATGGTAGAATTCATATTAACTTGCCCAGGATCGATAGTCATCCAGCGATCAACGTATACCACCGTGGCCCTTTGACCACGTTGTACAGGTCGCCGACTAGCGGCGTGTGTATGAAGCGAAACCTCCTGCTGTTCAGGGTGGGGGACTTCGACAACAGCCAATATCGTAACACAATCACTTCGTTCATCAGCGAGGGCCTCAGATACAGGGTCTTGCTAAGCAGACATTATCACGTCGAGCAATTCTTTGCTGATATTATGCTTCTGCACAAAACTTGTGCTAGAAACTCCGTGAACACTGTTTTGATGTTCACACGCTTAAATTATAGAGAAGATGGATTCAGGGAAATCTTAAACCATGCTCTGGCTAATGATATTGTAGCCAATCTGACCAGTGCTCGTGATGTGCACCAAATAATTGCTGAATTCACGAACAGGCGTGTCCCTCCGCCTGGAAAGCCGCTATATGACATTAAGGCTGAATATTTTTTGGCTGCGAGGCGCCAGGACACGGTGATCGTTGTATGCATTGATCCTAGGAAATATTCACTATTCAACCCAGACAATCTAGAGGAATATTACAATTAACTACGAGTGTTTTCCCTACTTTTTCTTGTAATTAGTACCTACCTTAGCTTATGTTTAGTTTATTTTTTTTATATCTCCTTCTTTTAAAATTCAATACCGTCGATTGGGGTTTCTTGCATTATCATTGTGTGCCTTGGCCTATAAACGTACTAGTTTCGAAATTGAAGCCGCATTTGAAATCAACACCACTTTGTCAAAGAATAATACTTTACCGTACAAGATGTTCTTTACAAAAACGTATTATTGATAATGGGATAACCTTAATCCAACTTGCCACCATCAAAAATATGATAAAAATTTAAGTTTCGCTAAGCTCAAAACCAAAAGAGCTTGAAGTTTTCGAATATACCTACCTACCTATTTATAAGAAACTGGTAACCGCCATTTGAAAATGACAGGGTTGTCGAGCAGTAAGATTTCGAATGTAAAAGTACGTACTAAAATTCTTTAAAATGTTTTTCATTTTTATTTTATCAACTTAACAAACCAAATGTATTATTTTAAGTAGTCTCTCTTAAGCGTTCATTTGAAGCACTGAAACAACTGCTCAAGTATTGAATAAAAACCTATGTCGCTGGTGTATGTTGAGTCCAATACATTTTTTAGAGCTTCGTTGGATCTGCGTTTACTCAAAATATCATCATCAAAAAGAGTGTCTATAACAGCTAAGACAAGAATATTACCAATCCTAAAGTACTCTTTGGGAATATCGATAAAACAATATTTTTGTGCCAAAACCTTCTGAGCTGTTTTCCAGCTCCATCATAAAATTAAATACTTAAAAGTAAATTCACACACATATCCACAAACAAAAGTGGACTTGTGAACTGCTCATAATTTTAGCTGATGATATTTGTTAGTTTAGTTCTTTCTACCTTTTGAGCTGTTTCTAGCTCCATCATAAAATTACTTATGGGGTAAATTCACACACAGATCTACAAAGAAAAATATTGTGGACTGTATATAATTAAAAGAATCTGCTCATAATTTTAGCTGATGAAATAATCTTCTATTTTCGATCTGGCACTCTATTCGTCCGTCCCCTTAGTTTTAGCATTCAACTCATAATGTAAAATTTTTGCGCTACTAATTACAATAGGAAGTTTCTGATCATTATTGGTGTAATAGAATTTTGATCATCGTAATTTCTCGTAGCAGATTTCAGATCTTTGTTTTATTTATCTATTTTTCTATGATCTGTAACCAAAATATCTTGGGACTATAATGTAGAAATAGAGCATCTGTAACTATAACAAACAAAATTAACGTACGACTGATTTTTGATGTGTATACTTCTTACATTACTTACTTACAATTATATTGTCAATGTAGGCTAAGTGACTTGTAATTTCATATACGGTGTTACTTTACATTCTTCCCATATTTACAGAGGTAACTATTATTTACTTTATTGCTGACACAACACAAATCTGTAAAAAAGTATGCCCACAAATTTTTAATCTTGAGTATTTTATTTTATCGACAATCTGTTAAACACAGCACTAATTATCGTAACATATGCACAAAAATATGTATTTTATTTATATTAATTTATTGCAATTTATTGTTTTTAAAATTCTTTTTGACACTTTTGTGAACAGCTGACGCCCACTAGGTTGAAAGTGCGAGACAAAATTGGTTTATTCCAATTTGTACTGCAAAACTACGAGTATACTAAAAACTAATGTGATTTTTTTATAGGAGTACTCTTGTTTAAAACTAAAATAATAGGTATTATTCGGTACTATTATATCTGTGAATATGTCAAGAATGCAAAGTAACACCCTGTATAATGAATGTGATTAATTAAGTAAGTAATTATTATTGAGAAATGTTGAAAAAAACATTATCAAGTGTTTATGTCTATACTATAACCACCAAATACAATAGACGTTTAATTATAATCTATAGACCTAAGATTAAAACACTCAAATTGTGTTTATCCGATATTCAAGTGTATGTATTCTGAATGTTTTCTGGAAACTAAGTGTTAAAATAATAAATGTTGAAAAATTATGTGTCATTCTTGATTTCAAACAATCCTTCCACTTTCTCACGTAGATATTGCTGGATGCTGGTATTGCGCAGCAAGCACAAGCACAAGTTTTTAGAAGTTATAAAAAGTTATCAAATGCCCAAGTCTCACTTAACCTGGGATTTGTACTTGGCTAGATTTAAATTTAAAGTAGTTGTACGGGCGGGAGGCAGTGGTGGTTGTAAGGTACCGGTACCGCTCCCGTGCCCGGGATATACAGGGTGGCCAAAACAATTTTTCAATACTATAAAAAGAAGTGGAAAGGCTTTATTTTCTGAAATAAACATGTTGACGTTTTCTTAAAGCGTGCGGTATGAGTGTTCCTATTTATTGGCCATAACATTTTTATCTTAGGTTTAACAAATTTTTAAACTTCATCGTAATGTTTTAACATATTTTAAGTAAAACTTCCTCGATTTTTGTTAAGATTGAAGCAAGGATCACTCAATCCACATGCACATAAGAATAAAGGTTAATTTCTTCCTTCAGCTTTTAAGTTTTGTCACACTTATTCTTTAACAAATTCGCTCGTCAGTTTGCACACATTTCCCAACAGAAATAAAACGTATTTATTAATAAATAGTCATGATTTTGAAGAGCACTCATACGGCCCGTGTGCGGTGTGAGTGATCCTAAATAATCGTCATAACTTTGGAACGGGACGTGCAAGGAATNCTCTCTCTCTCTCTCTGTCTCTGTCTCTCTCTCTCTCTCTCTCTCTCACACACACACACACACACACACACACACACACACACACAAACACACACACACACACACACACACACACACACACACACACTCTTTCCCTTTCTCTCACACTCTAATATGTAAACTGTAAAATGTATGTTCTAAGTAACGTAAACTTAGAGAATTGCAATTAGTTAGTCCTAAGAAAGTCAAAAACATGTAACGGAATCTCCGACTTACAGAAAATAATGGCCTATTAAGTACATGTTTTTTTGTGTTATTATGAAAGTTCAGAAAACTGCGCAGTTTTTAAAATTATTTTGGACCTATGGAATTTCTTCTTTTTTTTTAACTTTTAAGTTGAAAATTTTAGAATGTTCCGCTAATAGCATATTTTTTATGTTTCTAGCAAAAATTTTGTATCTTGCATCAAAGATAGGAAGTTGATTATTTTTTTCAAAAATCTGCAATTAATAGGGAATCTGTCAAAAAAAAGAAATCTGAGAAAAGTCGACCCGAAAAAAAGATAAAAAAATTTAAAGCCTACTGGGTCATACAATTTGAAAAAATCACAAAATTGACGATAACTTCTAAACTATGAAAAATCGTAGAATATACATGGGGGTGAAATCGATAGGTCTAGTTCTCACCTATCACCTGCCTTCGGCTTGACACCTTACAAGAAACACCCTGTATATAAAAGAAAGTCGTGTTAGTTACTCCACTTATAACTCAAGAACGGCTGAACCGATTTAGCTGAAAATTGTCAAGGAGGTAGTTTAGAGCCAGGAGAAGGACATAGGATACTTTTTATCCCGTTCGAAATAAAAAAAAATCTGCTTATTTATTGCCATTAAGGCGGAACAAAGTTCGCCGGGTCAGCTAGTAAATAATAAATAAACCTTTATTTTACTCACACAAAAAATCGAACAGAATTACATACATATGTATAAGATACGTTTGATGTTCATTCTTGTGTGAGTCTGATGCCTATGCTAGGTATTTAGTATACCTGTATTACAGGTTCAAAGTGTACCCAAATCATCTGCTATACTCTCAACTCTATAAAGCACAACTGGTAATGCACACTCGGTAGGGATTTATGTGGAATAGGGGGGAATGTAGGTAATTAGAATTGAAAAAAATGAAAAAAGAAATATGTGAAACTCTATATATTTTAAGAAATGTAACAAAAAAGGCCTAGAATACCTCCTTACAAAGTACATTGTAAAAGACAACATTCACCATATAAAATTTCAATCACTAAGCAGTCCTCAGGCCACCACGCTCACTAGCACCGACGGTATCGCGGCGAACCACACGGCCGTCGTTGTAACATGTCTTTAGCAAGAGAAGGGTTTAAAATAAAATAGCAATCAATTTCCCAATTTAGTAAAAACTAGACCCATCGCTTACTAAGAACACGGTACAAAGAGCGGCTGTTAGCGAATATCTAAACACTACGCGTCAAACTTCTCGCGTTAGAGGAGGTTCTTGATTTCGTCGTATAGAACAAGCACGAAGGCGCCCCCTGTGCCTCTGAGGACGTTGGAGAAGGCGCCCTTGAAGAAGGCGCCGGGGCCCTCGGTCTTGAGGATCACGGCCCAGCAGTGGGCGGTGTTCTTGTACAGGCGCTCGTTGGCGGGCCGGCCCGACTGCATCATCATGCGCCGCCGCACCGTGTCGAGGGGGTACGAAGTGATGCCCGCCACCGTTGTTACTGTCTGCAAACGAATACACTCATTATCTATACATATAAAACTCAATAATGACTGACTGACTGTCTGACTGACAAAGTGATCTATCTCGCACAGCCCAAACCACTGGACGGATCGGGCTGAAATTCGGCATGCAGGTAGGTAGATGTTATGACGTAGGCATCCTTAGCGGATGAAAGGATTTTACGAAACTCCACCCCTAAACGGGATCCACGCGTACGAAGTCACGGGTGGCCGCTATCAACGCACAGGCCAAACCACTGGACGGATCGGGCTGAAATTTGGCATGGAGGTAGATGTTATGACGTAGGCATCCGCTAAGAAAGGATTTTACGAAACTCAATCCCTAACAGGGGAAAACGGGATCCACGCGTACGAAGTCGCGGGCGACCGCTAGTTCATAATAATATGATATCTATAGATCGTTTCATCCACGAAGAAGCGCCCCACCATTTTTCCGCTAATGTTTGAGTATTATCGGTACACGCTAAATTATCTATGAGTGCACACGCACACTCTACAATAATGACGCTCAGACTCGGATTGCTCGGATAAAACTCCCCGCACCCCGCGCTTCCCTCGACCAGAAATTGTTGGGGTGCGTCTTAGTGGATGAAACGATCTATAGTTAGGTTTTTTCTTACTCATCCCACAATTGTTTCCGAGAGACCAAGAGACTGATGTAGTTAAATCAAGATATGACGTCAAGTGACCAACTGGCATCGACTGAGCTACAAGAAGAGCAGCTAAATGATTTTGATGCATTTTATTTCAAGTGAATAATCTTAATCACCATCTATTAGTGAATGTTTTGTACCGAGATCATAAGGCGATTATCACACTGCACCGCGCTCCGCTGCGGTACGCGGGACGACAGATTTAATCATTATATGCAAGTATCTCAGTTTGTATAGAAAACACGCGCGGCATAACACACTGAAAATGCGTTTACGCGCGGGATTCGTTATATGTCGCCACGCGGACCGCGGCGGAGCGCGGTGCAGTGTGATAATCGCCTAACACTTTCCCCCGGGACAAACTTCACTTCCTTCCTTTCTGATGGGACCTTCACTGAGTTTTTATTGGCTACACAGGAGCGGTAGGAACGAGTCCCGTACTATTGATAACGTCTACTACCAAGTTACCTGTGCAATCATCCACGTGATCAGCAGCGAGGTGTTCTTGGGGTCCGGCAGCATTCCGCGCGCCGTGTCGTAGAAGCCGAAGTAGGTTGCTCGGTAGATGATGATGCCCTGCACTGACACTACGAAGCCCCGGTACAAGCCGATAGGCCCGTCCGACTTTATCGTCTTCATCAAGCAGTCTACCAAACCGTTGAACTCTTTCTGTTTGCCTTTACCCACGTCGGCAGCTAACCTGAGGATGGTAAAGGATTTTGATAACTTAGTTCTTCCCTACACATCAAGATGCTGAGTGGGTTTTTTAGATAGGTAAGTAGAAACAGAGGCGCAATTATATATTTGAACTGTCAAATGAATAAGATTACTTAAGCGCTCCTGCACACGACGCCGCTACCGCACCGCCGCCGCACGGTCGCCCCGCCTTTGCACTGTTCACACGCACCGAGTAAAACCGCCACCGCGCCGCGGGCGAAATTATGCTTTGATAGCGCGGTGGCGGTGGACAGTGCAGGAGCGCTTAGACTAGGCGCAGACCGTTGATTTTTTGTCGGCCGATAGTTTAGTCGGGTTGGGCTCTCAGTGTGCACACTGATTCTACTAAACAGTTGGATCGGGCGTGAGGGGCTGGGTGCGCAGACCGCCGATTTAAATTTCGATTGCTTCATCCGATAGATAGTTCTTGAAGAGATCAGTCGCGTGAAATGTTGCCAAAAATATTATTAGTCCAGTAGAATTAGCTTTTAAATCGGAAATAATTCCTACAAAAGATTTTATTGTTTTAATGTCTTCATTGGTTGCCCATTAAGACTCTCCTAAGTTTTCGACTTCGACGGAGTTGTGCTTAAGTGGTGGGGGCCCCCGAAAGAGGCATTTTTTCGGTTTTCCGGTTATACCGCGTAAAGGGCTTACCCTATCAAAAAGTGGTCTTCATGACGGTTGAAGGTCACTTAATCCTTCATTGAATAAGACCAAATTCGTATGTTTTGGACAAACCGTTCTCGCAATAAAGTTCGGCAAAGTAAAANCTTTTGTAGGAATTATTTCCGATTTAATAAATTTTTGTGTTTAATTCTACTGGCCTATATTAGAAATTATTATTTCTTATTCTTGACTAGTTCTTGCCCGCGGCTTCGCTTGCGTGAAATTTAGTATGTCGCAACAAAACTGATTAACATGGCACTTATCATTGTAATTTGGCCAATTAACAAACGACCGACGGCCGTTTAAATCGGCCGACGAAAAATCGATGGTCTGCGCCTAGACTTTCACAACTTTGACAATACAATTTTAATCAAAAATTTTAGGAACCATAGTTTGAGTTATTATCTTTATTATGTTAGATCCTTGGGGTGTTTCCCTGAATGATATCATTTAAAAATAAATTTGGAAAAACTCTTAAGAAGCAGTTATTATTAATGAAAAAAATCAAGCTCACTGATGATAACTAGGGAAAGTAATTATATTACAGCGTTTGTTAGCCCCGACTTACAACTAATTAGTATTAACTTAGAATGATGATGAACGATGGCGTTAATCTAATACTAATACTATAAAGCTGAAGGGTTTCGTTTGTTCGCTTGAACGCGCTAATCTCAGGAAATACTGGTCCGATTAGAAAAAAAAATATTTTTGTAGGAAATATTAATCAAGCTATTTTCACACTACGAAGTCGAGGGCATAGCTAGTAATACAGAAAATTTACACACCTCGTTCGAGCGAAATCCAGTGGGTATACGAAGCAGAGCGAGGTAGCGCCGGCGGCCCCTCCCGACGCCAGGTTACCGGCGAAGTACCGCCAGAACTGAGTGTTCTTGTCGACCCCCGCTAGGAACATGCCCTTGTACACGTCCTTGAAGGCGAAGTTCAGCGCCTGCGTCGGGAAGTATCGGATCACGTTCGCCAGGTTCCCTCGCCAAAACGATCCCAGACCCTGCTCCTTCGGGATACGGATGAACGCATCCACAATACCTGAAAGATAATATTTATTGAATTCTCACTATTAAGGGAATTGGCAACACACAAACACTTTTAAAAAGGTATTTGGTTGCACGAGTCATGGTCGCGGGCAGACTCGTAATAATGAGAATTTAGTAAAAAATGCAACATGAAAGTTTACAATAACTTGAATAAGTATAATTATTGATTGAACAATAACATCTCTTCAAAAAAATTAAAATTTATTTTACTGCTGAGATGGGCAACTGGGCAACAGACTTAACAAAAAGTTTGAATCCTGTACTCGTACAAGTAAGTATTCAAGAGCAATATTTTACGTAAAAAATGTTTGCTTCTTAATTTTTATTTTGTTTTCACGGAAATTATTCCTATTTTTGGTACTATGATATTTAAATACCTACTTATTATGGTTAATTAGGTATATAGTTAGGTATTTTTATAAAACCAAAGGTGATATTCCAGGTTGACGTACTTGGAAAAATGCTAATTAAAAATAACTTAAATGTGTGGTAATGGATATCAATATCACCTTTGTATCTTTTGTCCTTTGGAATCTGTTTGGACACATGCTGGACCTGTAAGATCAGCTTCACTCGTTCAATGGGCGCGACAGCTGTCTTTGACACTGCTGCGGAGACTCCGCCGGCGATGAAGTCTTTTACAAACGCTGAAGAGTCGTGGCCTTTTTTATCCTCCTTCCCCTTCTTCTTATCTTTATCAGACATTGCGTTCTAACAGTTCAACTTATGTACGTTCCGTCGGATACTGGAAGAAAACAACAATAATCGTTATAGAAATAATTTGAGTTAAGCCTTAGGTAGTAAAACCATTGGATCTCTTGTTCCAACTAGACCTTGCAGCTATCACTGTAAAATTGTCAATTCCGTCAGAATAAAATTCTTACGTACCTACAAAATCTTACCAATTTTAGATTTAGAGCAATTTATCGAGTCCAAATTTAATCAGTCACTACGTTACCTACTACAGTATCTATACAATGACTATACGCAGTTGTGAAATAGGTTGCAACCACCAACCTGATTAACCTTAGTCTGCACTATACCACTGATCCCTCGTAGGGAATAAAAGTTCATCGCGATCAAAGAACCATATAACTACAGCACATTTCACTACAGGGAATTTCAAACGGAACTGCACAAAATAATATTTATTTTGCTAAATTGATTGTTCTCACTATTACTTTTGGCAGATTTGACTGATGATACAAAAGACGCACGCTTCGTGTTTGAATTTAGAATAAAAAGTTTACTTGACACGTAACTAACTGTCAGGTAAGAAGAATTTGCTATAACATTCTTTGTCTTTGAATTGTTTATTCATCTCTAATATTTGTTTATTTATTTTAAGCATCAAAATAACTAACAATCTACCCTTCATGCGGTAAATTAGTACGTGTGTACGAGTACGTACGGAAAACGCAGCGTGTGACGTCCACCCACAAGCTGGACCGACGACTTTAAAAAGGTAGCAGGAAGGCATTATTATTCTGTGGGAAGGCGCTGGATGCAGGCTACCAATCGATCAACATGGAAATCATTGTGGGAGGAAGTTCAGCAGTGGACGTTAGTGTGAAACATACACATTCATCTTCCGCGACAATAACTTTAAAGATTTTCTTCTGACACAATCATGGTACCCCACTAATTTTGGTGTTATTTGAAAGTCCAATAAATAAACTAAGAGAAAAACACATTTAATTTAGAAACAATTAACAGGTACCATAAGACCAATTAGACCAATCCCAATTTAACAGTTGTATAACCATAAAAGTTGGCTCAAGCGTAACCTGTCGCTTTAAAAAGAGACACTGGATCATTCTAAAGACACTTTTTGAGGTAAAAACCTTTTCTATAATGAAATGAATTTTAGAACCAGGCTTTAAAATGATACCAATATTGGTGGGAAGTGGGGATGCATACCTACGTTTGAAAGTGCTTGTCGCGGGAGGTGCGATTTATTTGACGCCGAGTGTATGCTATAGGTACTGTTGAAACTTGGTAAGTAATGTATTCTATAAACCGCATTACGATTTTTACATAAAATTTTGGGATTCCCCATACTTTGAAACTTTTCATCAAACCCATATGTGTGGGGTATCTATAGATAGGTCTTAAAATGATATTGACGTTTCTAATATTTTTTTTTTATAAACTGAATACTTTGTGCGAAAATAAAGTTACAAGCTGTAACACAGGTTTGTACGGACTCGCATTTGTTTATTTTTTTTACCAGAGTCCTCTATCAGACAATATTAGTTCTAGATTCCATGTCAACAATGCTCTCGCTAGTAAATAGCAGGCTGCGCAACCACTAGGCTGGCTCATGGTTGTTCCCGAGCATCCAGCTAGGTGGCAGTGTTCTGGGCTCCCTTGGTCACTTCTTTGTTTGAATTTTATTACTAGGTATGTATAATAAGGTGCATGAGTGCATCAGTTTCAGCCATTCACATCATCATACTTTTTTTATTTTCAATTAATTGGTGACGATAAAGTTAATATGATAACAGTACCAAAAGTCAATCAAATTACTTACTCATATTTAAAAATATTCAGTAGGAAAAAAAACAAACAAATCTGATATTTTCGTATTCATTCATATATTTCGAAAAACATCCGTAGTATACTTGCTACGATTTTTTCAATCCTGCTACGAAATTAGTAACCCAAAAATCCATAATAAATGTAGTCCGCGCCTCTAACAAATCGTTTTATTCATTAGCCAGACTTGGCGGGTTTATAAGGTTTATATGAATTTACTATAGGAGGTTATGAATAGACTTACATCACTGCACTTAAATAGCCCCCAAAGCATTATTTTTCTTTTTGCTCCATGATAAAGAATCGTAGACATTCAGCTGAAGTGATGACGTCACAATGCTGAATGCTATGCCGTTTTCCGTCGCGTTAGAATGAGGAACCGTAGCTCAGATGGTAGAGCGCTTGCTCGGCATGCAAGAGGTAGCTGGATCGATATAGTTCCAAAATACTGAACTGTCCTATCGATGATATTGACAGCGGGGCGCCACCGTTAATACCGAATCGCTGGTTCCGATTTTTGCCATGTTGGAAACCATATAGTTGAACGATGGTAGCGCCCCCCTGTCATTGAGTTTGGCGGGACAGTTCAGCGTGGGTCATCTATACCAGCCAGTTCCCACCACCCCCGCCATCCCCGCTTTTGTATTTTTTTTTTATTATTTTATGTAATATTTCCAGTCAAAACGATAACCATGCAATTGAAAATTGAAAATTGATTTTAGCAAGATAGTTTTTTTTAATTTAATTTTAAGGCTGGGTTGCACCATCTTTCTTTAACTTTGACAAACGTCAAAAATCTGCCAAACTCCATGCAATAAGCACCGGTTATCGTCATAGTTACCGTTAAAGTTAGGTGGCTCTCACTTGGCCGGTTTTTAGGGTTCCGTAGCCAAATGGCAAAAAACGGAACCCTTATAGATTCGTCATGTCTGTCTGTCCGTCCGTCCGTCCGTCCGTCTGTCCGTCCGTATGTCACAGCCATTTTTTTCCGAAACTTTATGAGCTACACTGTTGAAACTTGGTAAGTAGATGGTATTCTGTGAAACGCATTAAGATTTTGATGCAAAAATAAAAATAATAGTAAATATTGGGGGCTCCCCATACTTAGAACTGAAACTCAAAAATTTTTGATGATAAAAAAAAGGTAGGGTATCTATGGATAGGTCTTCAAAAATGATAACGAGGTTTTTAAATTTTTTTTTTTCTAAACCGAATAGTTTGCGTGACAGCTTCCAAAGTGGAAAAAAGTTGGTCCCCCCCCCCTCTAACTTCTAAAATAAGAAAATGAAAAATAAAAAAAGAAACATATGATGTACATTACTATAAAAACTACCAACGAAAATTGTTTTGAACGAGATCTAGTAAAGTAGTTTTAATACCTCGTAAATCGTAAACCGCTTATTACCGCGTAATCTTTCTTACAAATAACTTAAATTAAAAAAAATATTCATAAATCAATGGTACGGAACCCTTTGTGCGTGAGTCCAACACGCACTTGGCTGGTTTTTTTATAATAATTTCCCCGGCACCTTTGTATTTTACAAAGGAATTTTACGAAACATATTCTCAATTTCACCGCCAAGCCTTCAAAAAAAAAAAAAAAAAAAAAGTTGGCTGATAGTTGGGCCCGATTTTAAATTGTATGAATCGGCCGATACCGCCTAGTCAATCCTGGAAGCGAATGGCAGAGTCGGGCAAAATTAGACGGCGTTACAGAGGGCCGGTAGCAATTATAGCAAACCGACCAAGTGTGAGTCGGATTCGAAGGGTATATTTTTATTGTTGTATGGGAGCCCCCTTCAATATTTCTTTATTTTAATTTAATTATTTATTTTAAAGAAAATATACATATAAAAAAATATGTCACATTTCAAGCGTTCACCTCTTGTCTTTATAAATATCGAGCAGAAAACGGCAAAAATCATCTTTGCTGTATGAGCTCCCCTTAAACATTTATGTATTATATTTTATTTAATTATTTATTTTTTAAGCGAATATCAAACTAAATATTTTGGGGATGGTTCATGAGATACAGCCTGGTGACAGATAAACAGGGAAGTCATAGTAATAGCACAGAATAAGTAATAGTACAGGTACAGAAGGATTACTCCGCAAGACGATTTAAATAAATGCGAGTCTTGCTACGACGCGATAAAGTGGAATTCAGCTCGCACAGCACTACGTACCTACAATTTTATTCACCTACAAGTTTTGTCTCTTTCTATCGCGTGCCTCTGAACTCTTCTTACGCTGTTAGGGTTGCTGTCTAGTGAAAAAATAATTAATCTACTTATATGTAATGAAGTACTCGTACGTATGTAGGTAAGTACGCATTCATTATGGAAAACCTTGGGAAAGGCTTTAGTCCAGCAGTGGACGTCATTCGGCTGAAACGAACGAACGCATTCTGAGCAGTAGTCATGGTAGGTTAGGTTCCTATACTATCCTAAGAATTATTGATTACCTACATGGCAAACATACCTTTCAGCATCTTTGGGAAGCGAAAAAAAAGATAAATCCGGTAGATTTCTTTTCGAATTTAAACACCCGAACGCCGCACAATATTTATCTCTCTTTATGTCCATTTTTAAATAATACTTCGATCGTAGAATTAGGTACCACTACAACGCACGCCAGCGTCCTGACGGGCGCGCGCGTGACACTCGACTGATATAATACCCGCCGGCGGGGCGCTTCGCTGTAAGTAATGANTACCGCGCGAAGTGAGCCAGGCCTGGTAATAGGGTCCCGTTTTTATACAGGATGTTAGGTAAATGGGTATATGAGCCGACACTAGCCTATGTTAACATGGGCATATAAATGGTATGGTGAAGTCAGAAATTTGATATCATCATTTTTTTTATTTTCTTACAAAATTAATTTTATAAAATCCGATTTGTATGAAAATTAAAATAATTAAAATGAAGATATCAATTTTCTGACTTCATCATACCATTTATATGCCCATGTTAGCATGGGCTAGTGTCGGCTCAAATACCCATTTACCTAACATCTTGTATATGAATAATATGTGCAGCCCGCTACTTAGCGTCGATCAATTAACAGTCCATAATTGCATTTCAGGCTCATTTCTATACAATAACCAAATGGCCCCTCATGCATGATCGCAGTCACATTAGTGTGTAGATACTGTGTATTTGTCATATGAATAGATTAAATTACAAGACCGTCAGACCGTCATTAGCACTGATTCAAGAATATCGAATTCACTTTGTGTCTTGGACAATGTCTTTGTTATTGTTAACATTAATTAATAGGTAAGTCAAAGCGGATGACAGGTGACAAACATAACTTTTTAAAAAAATAAAACCGACTTCAAATGCGTGAACACAAAAAAAAACTAAAAATTGCGTATAAAAAAGTTCATCCCCAATTTTCCACCCTTGGGGGTGAAATATTTTCTTCAAATTCGCATGAAACCACCCTTTTGATAATACCTATTCAACAAAAAAATAATCGTTCAAATTGATTTATAATCGGCGGAGATATTGCGTATAAAAAAGTTCATCCCCAATTTTCCACCCTTGGGGGTTGTTTTTTCTATTATTAAATTTAAATGGGACCACCCTTGAGGTATTAATACAGGGTGTTAGGTAAATGGGTATATGAGCCGACACT